TGCAAATTTACCATCACCTGCTACACCCATTAGTCACGCCCACCAGCCAATCAGGAGTGGATATGCAAATAAACCCAACCAAGATGGCTAGGGCCATAGAGAGCAGGAGGGCGGCTTGGGTTTTCCTGGCAATGGAGGAAGCCAAGCTTTCCACACACCCTGGCCGGCCCAGGCCTCCACTTAAGGCTACAAAGTTTCAATTACAGAAGATACATAAACCCCAACCAAAATGGTGGCAGCCAAGGAGCAAGCAGAGGCTTGGCTCCTCTCCAGGCTACAAAGTTTCAATCGTAGAAGATAAATAATCACCAGATACCAAGGTCTTAGATTGGGTTGACAGGGTTCGTAGCTGGCCTGCAAATCACCACAGGCCCCTCGCCCAGACCACCCCAAGCCTGAAGGGAACCCCCACCCTGATCCGGGACATCCTTCAGGGCAAACCAGCTGGCCCCCACCTGTGTACCAGGCCTCTATCCTATCTAATCAAAGAGTAATATGCAGATTGACCATCACTCCAAAACATAAGATGGCTGCCCCCATGTGGTCAAAGATCTTCCCCCCGCCCCATGTTGATACAAGATGGCCAGCAGGGGAGGGCACTTGGGAGGGACCAGGCCTGCAAGGGAGGGCAGTTGGGGGTAATCAAGCCTGCAGGGGAGGGCAGTTAAGGGTGACTAAGCCAGCAGAGGAAGGAAGTTGGGGTGACCAGGCCTGCAGGGAAAGGCAGTTGGGAGGGACCCAGGCCTGCAGGAGAGAGTAATTGGGGGGTGACCAGGCCTGCAGGGAAGGGCAGTTAGGGGCAAACAGGCTGGCAGGAAAGTGGTTAAGGGGTGATTAGGCTGGCAGGCAGAAGTGTTTAGGGGCAATCAGGAAGGCAGGCAGGCGAGCAGTTGGGAGCAACAATCCTGGAAGTCTGATATCCCGGATATCCCTCGAGGGGTCCCAGGCTGGGCTGAAGGACCCCCCCCCCCAGGCCTCTAATATACAATATATATATATATATATATATATATATATATATATATATATATATACTTAAAAAATTAAAAACAATCTGAACATCAAAATTAATATGCCCTCCACAGGGCTTTAGATAAGGAACCCCTGAATAAAAGCAGACACATACAAGTGTCTACTAAGCCAGCAATGCTTTTATTTTTATTTAGCTGAGGAATAAGTACATTCTGGTAAATAAAACACTGTGTTTTGTGTATATTTCCTCAATGCATTTTGTTTTGAAGGAATAATCCTTGAGATTAGTTTGTTTCTTATAGAAATTTCTCAAAAGTGATCCAGCAAATGGAAACTCTATCCAGAAATATTTCGAAGAAAACCTAGACTATAGTTTGGTGATATTAGGATGATCAGCGTCTTTTTAGAAGCCAAGAATTAATGCATATATATGAAAGAAAACTAGGAAACATTTTTTTTAAATTTGAAAATAAAAAGTAAGTATAAATTAGGTTTTATATCTCAATCCACTGTCTAGTAGTCTCAGTATTGCTGATGCTCTGTGCTGTATTTTAAACTGTTGGACACAGAGACACAGAAGCACACAGACAAACATACACAGACATTTTACCAGTAAATACATCCCCCTATTTCTTCTGCTTCTCCTAATCTCTTGGTATATTTGGCAGAGGAATACACTTGCAGATAGAATTTACTTAGAAGACAACATTATAAAATGAGCTTTTGTGGGTGAAGGTTAATGGGGGGAAGAAAGGAGATGTATGTACTACAATTGGAAATACTTTAAACAATAAAAGAAATGAAAACAAGCTCAAAGTCACTAATTATCTGAGATATGCATATTAAAATGACAATGCAGTACTATCTCACACCTTTCAGAATGGCAATCATCAACAAATCAACAAACAAGTGTTGGCAAGGATTCAGAGAAAAAGGAATCCTTGTGCACTGCTGGTGGAATGCAGCCACTGTGGAGAACCGTATGGAGTTTCCTCAAAAAACTAAAAATGGAACTCCCATTTGAACCAGTAATCCCACATTTAAGAATATATCCCAAGAAACTAGAAACACCAATCAGAAAGGATATATGCACTCCTATTTTCATAGCAGCACAATTCACCATAACAAAGATTTGGAAACAGCCTAAATGCCCATCAGTAGATGAGTAGATTAGAAAATTGTGGTACATCTACACAATGGAATACTACGCTGCTATAAAAAAGTAGGAATTCCTACCATTTGCAGCAGCATGGATGGACCTGGAGAGCATTACATTAAGTGAAATAATCCAGGAAATGAAAGAAAAATATCACATGATCTCACTCAGTTATGGAAAATAAAGAACATTATAACCTGATAAACAAAAAGATAGATACAGAGGCAGTAAAGCATTGAGAAGACTGTCAAATTACAGCAGGCAGGCTGGGGAATGTTGAGGAAGGGGAAAGAGATCAACCAAGGTATTTGTATGCATGCATATAAGCACAACCAATGGACATAAGACACTGGGGAAGGGAACGAAGGCATGAAATGGGTAGAGGAGGCTGGGGGAAGGTCAATGGGGAGAAAAGGAGATATAAGTACTACTATATATAATACTTTAAAAAAGAAATAAAAATAAAAACAATATAAACAATAAAAAATAAAATGAGCTTTTTCTATATGAAATAAAATATTGAGTCTCCATTAGAAGATGAATGGATACAACAGATATGGTACATTTACACAGTGGAAACATTTGTGGCTAAAAAAAAGAAGAAGGAACTCTTACCTTTTGTGACAGCATTGATGGACCTGAAGAGTACTATGCTAAGCAAAATAAGCCAGTCAGAGAAAGACAAATACCATATGATATCAGTAACATGTGGAATCTAATGAAAAAAAATGTTCTGACAAATAAAATGGCACTAGAAATGTAGACACATGAAACAGACTAACTGGTGCCTGAGGGGAGAGGGTTAGGGGTAAATGGATAAAGAAGGTAAAGTGGTTAGCTAAAGAACATATATGTATACTCCATGGATACAGACAATAGTTTGGTAAAAGCCAAGGGGGGGTGAGGTAGGAAAAGAGAGAGAAAAGGGGAGATACCTACAATAATGTCAACATTAAAACATTTAATAAAAATTTAAATAATCTATACTAATAAATGAGTAATATGCTAATTAGACTGGATAGCCAAATGACCTTTCAGACAACCTTTAGGATGAAGCTGGGGCTGCAAGGATGGAAGCAAGTTGCCGCGGCTGTAACGGGCAAGCCCCTTGCATGGATTTTGTGCATTGGGCCTCTATTATAAAATAAATTGTCAAAAATAATGAAAATGCTTATCTGGGAGACTAAAGAATCTTTAGGAACACAAGGCACATGTGATGAAAATGCTGTCTGAATTGATAGTGTCTGATGAGAAGTCCATGTTGACTTACAAGGGATCCTGTTCCTTCCCAAGCAGCAGTTGAATATGGATTCAGCTCAGTGGGCAAGAGCTGTAATGTTGAAGAAGAATAGGCTCCCATGAGGTTGTGGGGTGGGGGAAGGCAAATAATAATGCTTCATTCTTACAGAATGTTGAACAGAGAGGTCCTTGGGGTCAATCTTTCTCAAGGTTGAGGGTGGGGCCACATGACCAGGTACTCTCCAGGAGCAAGTATGGATTCTCTTGACTGATCTGAGTAGGAAAGAGCAGGAAGAAGCTGGGAGTGTTAGAGGCACTAAGATTCTTATATCGCCATCCAGGTAGATCTATGGACCATCCCCTGCACATCAGTGAATATCCTCTACTGTTACACTTATATCTTTAACCAACCCACCTTTCACCATGATTAACAAAAAGGAGATTGAGCTGATGAGACAGGGAGATGAGAAACCTCCTCCAACTTTAGACCCCCATTTCTGAGTGAAAGCAGATAAAACTTGGTCCAAATAGATAATTAGCAAAAGGAGAAAAAGGCTATTACTTACTCCAGCAGGTCAAGAGGAAGCTGAGGTTGCTTTGTTATGGGATACAAATAGCAAATATTACTTAGGAAGAATAGTGGTTGTCAATAAAGGCAGAGTAGCAAAGGGTATCAACTTTCGAATGTTTTGCTTAGCTTTACAAATGTAAAATCAATCATTAGAAATGGTTAGTCATTTATGGTCATCCCTCCTTATAAGAGTTTTACAAATAGTTTACAAAATATTGTGGTGGAGGAGACCAAGAACTGCATCCTCTCGTTTCCTTATTCATACAATTAACTATGGTCACCGTGATGCTAAGTGCTGGGTATTGGACACCCAGCAGTAAATATGCTTTACACAGCCTCTACCCTTTGAAGGAATTGGGAGGCTATGATTCTAGTCTCACTTTTCTAACTAGCTATAAGTCAGAGGCAATCCACTCTCTGGATCTGTTTACTGTCATTAAAATGAGGATTGATCTCACCTCTTCTTGATGAGAAGACTACACGATGTATATAGCTAAAATCAGAGCCCCTTGACAAACCTATGGGTTTCTGAAGAAAAAAATATCAATAAAAAATGAAAATTATCTTAACTGGAAAAAATGGGACCAAGGGGCAGGGCAGGAGCAGGGAGGAGGGGTCAATGGGGGGTAAAGGAGAGCATCTGTAATACTTTCAACAACAAAAATAATTTTAAAATAAATAATTAAATAAAAGTATAAGGACACACACACACACACACACACACACACACACACACACACACAAATCTAAGGCTGTACATTTGTATTTATCTCCCTGCAACATTGGCTTTAAGTTTTCATGTAGAGTAAGAAACACAAGATTTATTGGAGAGAGAAGGCAGCGTTATGGAACCCAAGGAACTTGGACACACAGAGCATGGTTCTAATGAAACCTTTGACAATGGGCCCCTCATTGAGCTTCATATTTCCCATCTGTGAAATGGGACTTAATGCTCCACTTTGCCTGTATCTCACAGATCATAGGTCCTTATGACTCTGAGCTGGACTCTTTCTGGTGTTTTGAGACTGAGAAAGGCAATGAATGATGTCAATTTTCTTTCAGCTCAACCTTGGCCAACCCTCAGCCCCCACCTGCAGTGCAAGCCAGTGGGGGATCTGGCAGCTCCAGTGACTCAGAGAGCAGCTCAGAGTCAGATTCAGACACTGAAAGCAGCACCACGGACAGTGAATCCAGTGATTTGCCTCCTGTGGCAACACCAGAGGTAGGTAAAGTGGCAAATGCCCCAACCACAATTTGCCTATCTTGCCAGTCACCAAGGCAGCACCCTAAATACCCAGACATGCACTCACACTTTCAGCGCAGTAATTATTTTAGCACAATAAATACTTCATAAAAGTATTCACGTATTTGATAATATGTTCCCCTCTAAAACATATATTCACAGAGTCTCTAATAGGCAGATGCTAGCTGGGTGACTGATTTGTATGACTCAGTTACTTTGAACCTTAAAGATTCCTCACATGTAAATTGCAACAGTAATAACTGGGTTAGCAACTTCTCTTTCTAGAGAACCAGTGAAGCCAGCCAAGACCCATTTCTGGCCCTGAGGACACCATGCCTTACTCTGGGTTGATCCAATGAATTGCCACTTGGCAATTAATACATAAGAAGTGCTCTTCTTTTGAAATACATCAGCTGATGCTTATGGTACCAGCCAATACAGGGTGATAGAATTAAAAACACTTTAGTAGCTGTGATTCCAACCTACACAGGGCAATGGCAGATAAGGGCCCAAAAATCTTATTGGCTGCCACTGTTGGCAGCATGGCTCTGGCATTAGGGCACCAGTTCTATTTATTTTTAAATTTTTTATAATATATATTTTTTATTAAATTATTATTTTTGTACATATACCAATGCCCCCCCTATACATACCCTCCCTCCCCAGAGTTTTGTGTGCATTGGTTGTACTTATATGCATGTATACAAGTCCTTCGGTTGATCTCTTATCTCCCCCAGATCTCCCCAACCTCCCCGCTGTAATTTGACAGTCTGCTTGTTGCTTTACTGTCTCTATATCTATCTTTTGGTTCTTCAATTTATAATGTTCTTTATCATCCATAAATAAGTGAGGTCATGTGGTGTCTCTCTTTCATTGACTAGCTTGTTTCACTCAGCATGATGTTCTCCAATTCCATCCAGGTTGCTGCAAATGATGAGAATTCCTTCTTTTTTATGGCAGCATAATATTCCATTGTGTAAATGTAGTTTTGGATCCAATCATCTGCTGATGGGCACCTAGGCTGTTTCCAAATCCTAGCTATTGTAAATTGGGGCACCGGTTCTATTAATACATATACTGTATCCTTGTTTCAGGCCTGGCTCTACTATCACTTTATATGTGATATATTGGGAAAGTTATCTGTTAAGCTCCCAGGACCTTATTCTTTCATATGTAAAATGGGGATAATAATACCAAGGACCTCATAGGGGTGTTATTAGTATGAAATGAGTAAATTCAAATCAAGAGTTTCTCACAGTGCTGGCACATCATCTTTCAAAAGAAGAGCAATTCTAATAAAAAGGATGGTTCTTTTATTTAAACAGGAGAATTCAGAATTAGGAATCAAACATCTGAATTATATGCATTATTTCCATGGCTTAACAGTGGACACTAATGTTGGCATGCATGTCTCCATACACCAAGGAATTGCAGTGTGGTGTTTCTCCTTTTTCCGCGTCTTGCACGGAAAAATGACAGGTTCCTGAGAGGAGGAGCTGGAGATTAAGAAAGTAGAGAAAGAAAGAGACAAGAGGCAGAAATAGATTCATAAAGCTGGGAGCTAGGTGTGTGCCATCTCTCTGATGGAGAGACAGTCACACTCACCACAGACAACACAGCATATTTATTGGCTTCCAAGGGGGAGTTTAAGGTCAAAATGAGTTTTGGGTGTGCCCAGATCCTATTCATCAAAATCTGGGTAAGCTCCTTATTTTTTGGTACAAGATTTAGCATATTAAGACTTGGGTGAGTCAATGTCCTATTTATTCCTCATTCCAAGCACATGGATTAAGAAATCAGTACTGATAACAGGATTCTGCCAGTGCCCTCGGGCTCAGCTGATAAGAATTACAAGAATGTCCATGTGCCTTCTCAGGAGGCTCTCTACAGTGCAGTGTTTTTCAGAAGTCAAATATTTTCAGCCTTCAGTAAAACTACAAAACACCTACTTTTTTTTCAATGAATTATAGCATCATATAGGAGGCATTGGCACTTAGGAAGATATAAAGTCTTTTCTTTTAAATTATACTTGAGGCATGCTTACATTTATTTTCAGGATCAGAGATCATTACCTCTGACTCCAGGTAATAGGTTAAGTAATGAGTCTCACCAAAGGATTTGGGAAAAAGGTTTCCCCTCTACCGCAGGAATCCCTACATACTAAAACAAAAACAAAAACAAACTAACAAAAAACCTCTGTAAATAAGTCTTTCATTCTTTGCCAGAGTAGAGAATATTTTCAAAAGAATGGAAATTAGTTTAACTTAGAAGATCAGGGCTGATTTGTGGTGTATTTGGCTCACTGGGTAATTTGATTAATGTGGATTCTGTGTGTGTGTGTGTGTGTGTGTGTGTGTGTGTGTGTGTGTGTTTGTAAATGTGTGAATGGCCACTTAACATCCAAAGCTTTTACCAGAAGTCAGTGTACTGAGGGTCCTCCTGAACCTTTCTCAGATGAGAAATTGATTATTGCTGCTGTTTCTCAATCTGTAGCCTGAGCCACCCTCAACCAACAAGTGGCAGTTGGATAAGTGGCTTAACAAAGTGACATCCCAGAACAAATCATTTATTTGTGGCCAAAATGAGACACCCATGGAAACAATTTCTGTGCCTCCTCCAACCATCCAACCAATGGAAGTCCAGGTCAAAGTGAAAACAACCCCCAACCAGATCCTGGCAGAACCCAAAGAGAGGCCTCTCCTCAGTCTCATCAGGGAGAAAGCTCGTCCACGGCCTTTCCAGAAAACTCTAGAAACAAAGGCTTTGAAGCATAAGTTGTCAGAAACTATTGAGACATCTTCTCAAAGGACAATTGGGAAAAAACAGCCCAAAAAGTTTGAGAAGAACACTGGCATTGATGAGTTGACCTGGCCCAAACCAAATATTACTAGCAGCACTCCCAAAGAAAAAGGAAATGTGGAGCTTCCTGACCCACCAAGAAGCCGCAACAAAGCCACTGTCAACAAACCAATCCCTAGGAAAGAACCAAGGCTTAACATCCCATTGGCCTCAGAGAAGAAGAAATATAGAGGGGCTGGGAAAATCGTACCAAAGTCCCGGGAATTCATTGAAACAGATTCGTCTACGTCTGATTCCAGCACAGATCAGGAAGAAACCATACAGATCAAAGTCCTGCCTCCTTGCACTGCTACTGGGGGCAATTTTGTCAAATCCAAGGAAACCTGTGGTGGTAACCTGATCCTCAGCACCCTAAACAGCAGCAACAATAACAATTTATCCATCAATAATGAGGAGCCAACTTTTTCATCCATCCCTGTAATGCAAACTGAGGTTCTATCTCCACTAAGAGAGCAGGAAAAGCCAAAAAATCTCTGGGTAAAGATTGACCTTGACTTACTATCTAGAGTGCCTGGCCACAACTCACTCCAAGCAGCACCAGCCAAGCCTGACTACAAAGAGGCTTCCTCAAAACCCAGGCGTCAGATTGCAACCGCAGCTGTGGAAAAACCCACACTTAAGGGCAAGAGGAAGCACAAGGTAAGCTTTTTAATGTGATCTGCCAAGTTACCATGAACAGTGGCTGTCCTTTGACTAACTTGATCTTGAGTCTGATTTTTAAGAATGCCAGCGGCAGTGGATTGCAGTCTTTGGTGAAGGCAATGGTGCTTTCCATGTGAAATGCCATATTTGACATGACCAGGGAGGAAGTGTTAGAAAATATCAGAGTTGGGAAGCCAATGTCAAGAGTATACAATATGTTACATGAGGGATCCAATATGTTACATGTACGAAAGAAGAATATGAAGAGAGACTCCTTCCCTAAGCTGTCAGTCCCTGGGGTCAGCTCCTTAAGCAGTTCCTGCTTTCATGGATTCATGGGTCATTACTCTACAGCCCTCCACTCCAGCAGCATCAGGGAACCCAAGTGTTTCTAAGTTCAAAAGGTATCCTCTAGGCCTCTTAATTTATGTTAACAAGCATCAGCACCCCATAACCCACTTTGATTACATTTTGATTATTCTGACTCTTACTAGACATATGTTCTGCCAAGCTCAATGGGTCCACTAACTTGTTTGGTTGGCTTGACTTGATCTTGAAAAATCTCGCCTGCATATGTTTAGGGCTGAATTCCAGGGCTAAATATTATAATCAGAAGGTGAAATGCACAATGGCCTCTGATGTCAACTACATCTAGGGAAGTGAGTTTGTATGTAATAGATTAATTCTGTTATAGACCCATGTTGTGTGATTTGGGTAATATGTTTAGTGGCTGCCACACTGGCTAGAGAGAAGGTATCTAATTATTACCTCATTTCTTCTGTCCCTTCCCAGAAGAGACTTAAGAATGAACAGAAATGGCTTAGATTCTTCATTAGTGAACAGTACTAACGTGTTTCCCCGAAAATAAGACATCCTCCAAAGATAAGACCTAGCGCATAGAAAGATAAGACATCCCCTGAAAATAAGACCTAGCGCAACTTTGGGAGAAAAATTTAATATAAGACACTGTCTTATTTTCGGGGAAACAGGGTGCCTAGGGACAAGCCATACTGCTGAAAAGTGACTTAAGTTTTCATTTACACTAGAGGTCCAGTGCACAAAATTCATGCACTGGGGGGTGTTTCTCAGCCCAGCCTGCACCCTCTCTAATCTGGGACCCTTTGGGGGATGTTACAATCTGGGACTGCTGGCTCCAAACCAGTTGCCTGCCTTCCTGATTGCCCCTAATGGCTTCTGCCTGCCAGCCTGATCATCCCATAACTGCTCCCCTGCCAGCCTGATTAACACCTAACTGCTCCCCTGCCAGCCCAATTCTCCCAATTGCCCTCCCCTGTCAGCCTGATCTCACTCCCAACAGCCCTCCCCTACCAGCCTGATCTTGCCCCCAACTGCCCTCTGCTGGCCAATTTGGTTCTGATTCGACAGTTTCTATGCCAGACAGCATCAAAAGCTCCATCTTCTAGGAAGCCATTGCCTCCTCACAGTTGAACCAGATTTGGTTCTGACTGGTCAGTTTTTATGCCAGTCAGCATCAAAAGTTCTGCCTCCTAGGCAGCCATTGGCTCCTCAAAGTTGATCCAGATTTTTGTTCTGATTGGTCGGATACTATGTCAGTCAGCGTCTCTGAGCCTATCAATGGGGCCTGATCAGAAAGGCAGGGCTGATCAGAAGCCCAGATAGAGGCCTGGAGAGTAATGCAGGTGCAGCTGCTGACCAGGCCCAGAGCTAAAGAGAGAGGCAAGTGCTGATTAACAGATCAGACCCTGCTTCTCTCTTCAGGCCTCTCTCTGGGCTTGATTCACAGCTTCCTCAGAGTCAGGGCTGGGTCACCGTGCCTTCAGCCATAGCAGTCAGTGCTGGGTCCCCATGGCAACCCAGTGCTGACTGCAGGACTGACTTCAGGTTGGTCAAGCCTCTCAGTCATTGCGGACTCAGGGTTTTTATATATCAGGATTATTGATTCAAAAACAGAGGGTATTAACTTTGAGCTGTGCACCAAATTATCCAACGAGATTATTCCAAAATAGGAACCAAAGTCTCTGGCCCTTGCTCTATTACTGTGTCCCCACTCTTAGTGAGGACAACAGTACAACCAGGGATAAAAGTACAGCTTCACAAGGTGTGCCTTGTACATAGTTAATTTCATTGAATGTTGTTGATTGTATTAGTGCCCTTTATATGTTATTCACAATCTATATTGCTTGGACATCATTTATGACATGTTAGAGTTTCTTAGTTCCTAAATTGTTCATTTATTGATAGGAGAAGTATCTGAAAAGTATACATTATCTTTACTTTTGGTATGAGATTTCAATCTCTAATCAGAGGTTCACATCACAGCTCCAAGTATCTTACATTCCAAGTTTTGGCCCTGGATGATGTAATAAAGTTTGTTGTTGAAGTGTCATGTCATAGATCAGAAGGTGAAGGAACACACCACCTGGTGGGGGTGTGTTCAGAGACAACTGAACTATTTCTCTCTCTCTCTCTCTCTCTCTCTCTCTCTCTCTCTCTCTCTCTCTCTCTCTCTCTCTCCCCTTTCTCTCCCCTTTCCCTCCTTCATCCCTCCTTCCCTCCTTCTCTCCCTCCCTCCCTTCCTCTTTCTAAAAGTCAATTTAAAAGTTCCAAGTTTTATTAGAAGTAGACTAGGCAAGGCTAATTGCTTTTCTCTCTGATCAAAGGTGCATATTTAACCTCCCTATTTAATCTAGAAGGTAAAGGAGAAACAAACTGTCTAGCTTGCTCATTATTTTTAAAAGTCTACATGTGGTATTTATTTTAAACTCTGCATTTTTCCCTATTAAAGCCAACAGAAGTTGCAGAAAAAATCCCAGAGAAGAAGCAACGCCTGGAAGAGGACACCACTATCTGCCTGCTACCCCCTTGCATCTCACCAGCCCCAACCCACAAGCCTTCTTACACTAAAGAGTGAGTTTTCCCTGTCTTTGTGTGATACTTCAATTGTTCAGACTAAAAAAACAACAACAACAAACAAACAAACAACAACCTTTGGGGAGGTTTTGTCACAAAGAAATGTTACATAAAATTCAAGAGTTTCTAAGTCCATCTTGACAGCTGTTCCTGGTTTTACAAGATTAGGCTAAGCGGCAGAATATACAATAGACTGCCAGCTTTAGGGTAACACCATGAGTTTTTGTTTTTGTTTTTGTTTTTTGCCATTGTGAATTATTTATTTATTTATTTATTTATTTATTTATTTGATGCTTCCTATCAAGATAAGGAAGTTCTTTTTTTTTATTAAATTATTATCTGTGTACATATTTTACCATTGCCCCCTCCCCATACATACCCACCCTCCCCAGAGTTTTGTATCCATTGGTTGTACTTATATGCATGTATACAAGTCCTTAGGTTGATCTCTTATCTCCCCCAGATCTCCCTACCCTCATCGCAGTAATTTGACAGTCCGCTTGTTGTTTTACTGTCTCTATATCTATCTTTTAGTTCATCAGTTTATAATGTTCTTTATTATCCATAAATGAGTGAGGTCATGTGGTGTTTCTCTTTCATTGACTGGCTTATTTTACTCAGCATGATGTTCTCCAATTCCATCCAGGTTGCTGCAAATTATGAGAATTCCTTCCTTTTTATGGCAGCATAGTATTCCATTGTGTAGATATACCATAGTTTTTTTATCCAATCATCTGCTGATGGGCACCTAGGCTGTTTCCAAATCACAGCTATTGTAGATTGTGCTGCTAACACCATGAGCTTTTTAACAACATTTCTTTAACTTACATTGATTACCAAAATTAGCCAATGTGAACTTTTAGCACTAAATGAAGGGGAAAAAGAAGTAAATAAAATAAAAATGTGCAATATCAAACAACACCTATTGCTTTAACCATGTCGCCTGACACTCACACCTCTAGTTTTGATGGTGAATAAACAATTTCCCTTTAAAGCAACCCCTTGGGCTTGACAGGATGACCCAGCCGTTGCTTCTTCTGTGATGTCATTATTTAACCTTAAAATGAAGCTTTAGAGTAGCTATATCTCAAACTCCTCAGAGGTCAGGAAAATGACAAGTCTGGAAGGCCAGAGCGATAACCTATCTGGGAATGACTCTCCCTTAGGCAGTTCTGTGTTGGGGAAAGCAAGCTAGGAATCAATAGGTTAATTCCAATCAGCTCGCACCTCTTTACCTTTATCCCTTTTTGTGGAAGGTTCCAGAGTCAGGAAGGAGGTTCTCCATATTTTCTCCTCACTCGAGCAGTCCCTAGAGAAGTCCTGCCCTCTCTGTTTCTACCACACATGGTGACTGTGTTCTTCTGTCTTATAAATATCATTTAAGTAACAATCATGTCAGTTACTGGAACCATTCCATCTGGATAATTATTGTCATAAATTCATTCAACATTAGTGATTACTTACATCAAAGACCAGTCTTTGATCCTATTAGCAGCCCAGAGAACAGAGGCAGTCTGGCTAATTGCTGCTTACAATTGATTTCACAGATTATTGTTTAACATCAGTGATATGGCATTAATCTGCCACAAATAACATGTCAGAAATAAATTCTAGATTTTCATTTGTTTGGAACCTTATTGATTTGAGATGAAACTAGGAAAAGAACAATTACCACTAGATTCGCTCAATATAATAAGGCTATTTGGGCCCTGGGCTGCCCCTTCCCTGAAGATCTGAAGCTCTATGTGAAGTGTGACTGTATTCTCTGTCATAACTTTGATCTGAAACATCTTTTCAAATACTTGGAGTTCTCATAACTAGAACCTCTTACAGTAGAACAAGCTGATGCTCTCCATACCAGGGTGGGCCAGGCATACGGGGGAAACATGCTTCTTTTGCAGTGGTCAAACTTGGTCATCCTAGGGCTTTCTTCCTTTCCAAGGAGGAATGACTACAATAGCAATTCCCAGGTTTTGACCAGTTCAGGCCACTCAAAGGCAAAAAGAAAAGGCAAGGGGCAGTGGGGAATTGCCACACCATCAGTTCCAATTGCTTGTCTCCATAAGCAACCCAATGACCTGTCACTCTTACCATTTAATGGAAGAGAGATGTTCACATATTAAGTAAATGTGTAATAATTTGAATGTTCCCATAAAATAAGTTTTTAATAATGATCATTATGTTCTTTCTGCTTTGGTTTTATCAAGGAAAGTAGTGTTTATCTAGTTGCATTTCTCATTTAGGAGGGCCTGAGTCAGGTTCTCATGCTTACCCAAAAAAATTCAAGTCTGAAAAAAAATCTCAAGTTGAGGGAGCAAGAAGCATTGACTGGCCTCTCAGAGATCTTATCCCGGGAACCTCTCCTCAAGCTTTGTCTGCTCATTTCTGCTTTGTTGACCCTTCAAACTAAATTCTTGAAAATTTATATCAGGCCACATTCACTCTTATAAATGAATACTCTAAACCTATCAAAGAAACCACTTCAGACAGATAGAGACCCGCTAAGTTCCTCCCCAAGTCTTTGGAATATGAACCATCAGCAAGGCCTATGAGACATTACGTTGGGGGTGGGAATATACCTCTCTTGTCTTATGTCCAACTCTAGCACTCTACAAGGTGCAGAAAGTAGCTAAATTGTTCTCGTATTAAGAAGCTATAATGGTGACTGAGTGCTCTCTTGCAAATGTGCCCTGGGTATTTTTTTACTAGTAAAGTTATTAAAGGCTCCATGATTCTAGATCATTACCAAATAGATGGAAAGGGGGCCAGGTGACTGGTTCCCACTGCACAGAATGTACTGTGAAGTATGTAATATACTATGTACAATGGTACATTGTAAGGCCTAGTATGACTAATATCCAATGACTACTGAACTATTCATCTCCTAAGATGCCATAGCTTAAAAATTTAAACAGATGCTAATATTTAACATCTTTCTACATAAATTCCCAAAAGTTTGATGCCTCTGAAATGATTATACTTTCAGGCTGATAATTGTGGAGCTTCCTCATTAACACAAATTTTAATCCTTATGGTCATCATTATTTTAACCAGGCATCACAACTTAAAATTGTTCTATACATCAATGCAACTTTTAAAATCCATTGGCAAATATTGTTTTTAATATGTTCTTATTTATTTTATTTTTTAAAATATATATTTTATTGATTTTTTACAGAGAGGAAGGGAAAGGGATAGAGAGTTAGAAATATCAATGAGAGAGAAACATGGATTAGCTGCCTTCTGCACATCCCTTACTGGGGATATGCCCACAAACAAGGTACATGCCCTTGACCAGAATTGAACCTGGGACCCTTCAGTCTGTAGGCCGATGCTCTATCCACTGGAACAAACCAGTCAGGGCTGTTTTTATTTATTTTAGAGAGAGAGGAATGGAGAGGGAAAGAGAAGTAGAAACATCAACAAGAGAGAAATATCAACATCAATTGGCTGCCTGTTATACATCCACTTTTAGGGATCAAGCCCACAAACTGGGCATGTGCCCTGACCAAGAATTGAACTGGTGACCTCATGGTATATGGGTCAATGCTAAACCACTGAGCCACACCAGCCAGGCCATTGGTAAATATTTTTATTAATTAAAAAAAATTACATTAATGGAAGAAACAGTTAAATTTTAAAATGTTTTGCCTCAAAACAAGAATGGATATAGGGCCACATTATGAAACAAAAGATGGATAAGATGACAAATATTACTACTACAGTTGACAGTTTGGGACAACACAGATGAAGTAGAACAAGAACATGACATTAACTTCTATCATTTTAGAAAACCAAACCATTTTAATGCTCATTCATCTTTGATTTGTGGCTTTGAGATTTTGTAAATCTATATTTCTAGACACTGACTAAAATTCACCAAGAGGAAAACATAAATCATTATTGACTTAATTTGCTATTGAAAATTGTAGTCAATAAGCATGAAAAGTAAATGGCTGCACAGTGCAATATTAGTTGTCTAAGAAAAGATTAAAATTCAAGTAACCTACATTGACTGGTCTAAGAGAGTAACCTAAAATGATAATCCATGACCCAGTTACCATGCTAAACAGCTAGCATAAGGTTTTAGTTGTTTTATTCCATTTAAAGTCACAGTCTATTTAATAGTGCTCATTGAATAGTCAGATAAATAAGTTTGAATGTACAGGAGTACTTCTAGGACTGCAGATGTCTTGTGGCAGTATGACAAAATATTTTCCAAATGAAGTTTGGTTCTGTGCATCAGTACTTCAATATAAGAACTTAAGCTGAGGGGCTTGTTATGCTTTAACTTTGGGACAGAACATTTTAAATATGCAATTTGCAATATGTCACTAAAGTAGTTAGTGCAAAGAACATATGTAAATAACCCATAGACATAGACAACAGTGTGATGATAGCCAGAGGGAAAGTGGGATGAGGGTTGGGTGGAGGTGGACAAAGGGGGGAGGAATAGGGACATCTTTAATAAAGTAAATTATAAAAACAGTTTAAAATTGTCTTTGCTAATAGCACAAAATAAAAAATAAAGTATTTAGTGCATTGTTTATTTCTAAGTAATGTATAAGCATAATATCCTATATAATAAAATGCTAATATGAAAATTGACCGAACAGAGGAACCACTGTTCACAATGATGCGAACTGACCACCAGGAGGCAGATACTCAATGCAGGAGCTGCCCTCTGATGGTAAGTGCACTCCCATGGAGCACTGCTCAGCCAGAAGCCATCCTCATGGCTGGCCAGCACAGCAGAAGTGGCAGGAGCCTCTCCCACATTGGCAGCAGTAGGCCGGGTCCCCGGGAGTGGGCCAATACTGGCAGTCAGACATCCCTTGAGGGCTCCCGGACTGAGAGGTTGCCTGCAAGGCTGAGGGACCCCTTTGAGTGCATGAATTTCATGCACTGGACCTCTAGTATTTTAATAAAATATAAGTATATATTCTACTAATTGTTTATTGTACTATTTAGTATGTTTGTGCAGTTAAGTCCTAAGGCCAAATAAGTAGAAACTATCCTAAAAATGAAGGTTAAAGTATACATTGGATTTTCCATTAAAAAGCTAATTAATAACAATATTGAAAGATTACAAATATCTCACTGGAGCACACTGCATTAGACACTTATATTCATTGTAGAGTTCTGTTTCAAAGACATATGTTTATTTTATATATATATATATATATATATATATATATATATATATATATATGTTATAGCTATTTTTATATAGAGTGATATATCTCTATAGATTTCTATGTCTATATGTTTTTACATATAATCTTCATCACAACTAAGTAAAATATTACTTCAACTGAATGTACCAACATCATAGGAAAATTCAGAATAAAGACAAACAAAATTTTATTACATACCACACTCTTTGTTTACACAGAAATAAGTCATCCAGGAGAGCAAATAGAAGAAAAGAAGAAAGGCTGTTCCCTCCTTCACTATCTCCACCACCAGAGGATCTTCCACGCCGCAGAAACATCAGTGGCAATAATGGTTTCTTGAGTCAAGACAAAAACATCCCGATGATTGGACAGTACACCTCTGCCAAAGCTAAGAGGAGTGAAGGCAAATTCTGTGCTACTTTCAAGGGGATATCTGTAAATGTAAGCATCTTAGGAGAAATATTATGATCATCAGGTAGAAACGAGTTGATCCAGCACCAGCACATCTAACTAGACTTGACCACATGGGGATGTTGCAGGGTGTTAGGAGGCAGAGACAGAGAGAAACTGTAAGTGTGTTAAATACACATACACAAACTCTCCATTATTTCAAATTTTAATTATTCTTATTTAGGATGAATTTTTTTTATTTCAGTATTACTTCTCCAAAAAGAATATTATGAAGAGATTTGGGACTTTGGACATCCTTTGGTCCAAACTTTTCACATTGGGGGTTGGAACACTTTCAAAATACTGACCACAGTATCTGGTACATTCATACCTGCTAAGTTGGGTGGTGGAAAGATATAACTTCGAGTTCTAGTCCCACTTTAGTGACTGTGGGCAATCTCATTCCATCCATTTGTTGTTGTTTTTATTCATTCACTAAATGATCATTGCCTACTATGTACCAGATGCTGTGGTCAGTATTTTAGAAGTGTCCCCTACTCCCAAGATATGAAAGGCTTGGGCCAAATAATACCTAAAATCCTGAGTTTCTGCATAATAATCTGTTTAGAGTAGTAAGATTGGAATGACTACTGAAATCTATATAATCTTAATAACCAATGTCACCCAAATAAATATAATTAAAAATAAATAATAGTGACTAAAATGATGGAATTTAAAAAGTGAATTGGTTGATAAAATCACACAATTGTGATTCTAAATCGAACTAAATGATTATCTAGTCCTTTGGATTTTCTATACAGCTGCTCAATTAGCATAGATAATTAAGAATATGTATTACTTTTTACATCCACACACAATATATTTTTATCTCTTCCAAATATATGCGACCATGAGTAAGAGTGCCATAAGTAAATATTAATGACAAATATATCTGCCTTTCCGAGCAAATACATGTATATGCAGATGTATCATCTTTATTTATCTAGTCTCCTTTAAATGTCATAGAAAAAGCAAATGAGTGAAATGCAATGAGTCTTAAAATGTCTGGTGCCGCCAAAACTGGTTTGCTCAATGGATAGGGCGTCAGCCCGCGGACTGGAAGGTCCCAGGTTCGATTCCGGTCAAGGGCATGTACCTTGGTTGTGAGCACATCCCCAGTAGGAGGTGTGCAAGAGGCAGCTGATCGATGATTCTCTCTCATTGATGTTTCTAACTCTCTATCCCTCTCTCTTCTACTCTGTAAAAAATCAATAAAATATATATTTTTTAAAAAACTAATAACACAAAGCCATGTGGGTGAACACCACAGGCTAGAAGAGTGGCATGCTCCCACTGGCCTTTAAAAAAATAAAAATGTCTGGTGCTGTCCTGGTAGACTCTGAACCAAGAGTATCCATTTTACAACCATAGAAAACCAAAAAGCCTATAAATCAGGAGCTATAAGAACCCTGACTTATAGGTCTTCCATCATCTAAGATGACTGAGATGACATTTATATCTATGTAAGTTTCACCATTGATATAAATTGCTCTATAATTAAATCGTCATGTTCCATATGAAACTCATGTGTATATATGTATACACACATATTAATATTTAAAATGCTGCCTATAATGTTAGGAATTAAAACATCTATTCTAAACAATAATTATACTACAGTCTTATTTTTCATATTGAATGTAATTAATATTATAAACTCTAACTGATATTCTCTTCTATTTCATTTTTTAATAGAATATGCAATGTCTAGTCAGTTCACTTGGTACAGTGCCTAGTATATTGTCACAAATAATTAGGTGCTTAATACAGATGTTTTTATGACAAATGGTATTGCTTATAAGAATCTGCCAAGTCATTTCCATGAAAACTGAAAACTACTGGGAAACATGATAAATATGATTACAATTGTACTTATAAATTGATCATTTTTGTTAAAGAAATCACTGAGGTATCCCATGATAGAAAGAAACACCAACTATCTCTTCTTTGGCCATTTCTTCTACTAATAGCTTGCAATCTGTAGAGAGTTTGTGGTGTATTTTTGCCCTGGCCTTGGAGTTAAGAGACTTGACAGAGAGTTAGCACTGCAACAACTTTTCTTTGTGAACTTGGACAAATTATGTAGTCTCCATAAAATGAGTGTGTTTGACTAGATTATCTATAAAGCTTCTTCCTACTCAACAAGGCTCTTCTTCAATTTTGTGCTCTGAGTCTTTTCCATTTATGCATGAAGTCTTATTTATTAACTCAATGGATGAGTATATATGGACAGAGGGCATATTAATATAACTTACACCATCATGGCTGAATGCAGCAATTTCCATCCAATCAGATGTGCCAGGACTGACAATGATGCCAGGTGCATGGTGGATGCGGTGTTTGAAGGTTCTTGTCACATATTTTGACCATAGAGACAGTGGCACTGTCTTTGGCTGACTTCACTGTTTAATAAAGGCCATCCGGCTCTGGCAGAAGAAACATGGAGTTGTCTTAGAAGTTTTAGAAGACTGATTTTTTTTAAATGTGCTTAGATTGAGTAAGATAAATGATCATGTTTAAACTATTTTCTCAAATATCCATTATTATAATTTTTATATGTGTAGCCTGTCAGCACATTTTTCTTATTGAGCTCTTGGTGGTAAGAATTTTTGACAATCAGAGAAGGTCCAGGATCAAATTGAAAAGATAGACTTTCAAGACTATAAGAAATGATCACATTTGGATTTTGTCTTTAAAGTGACCCTTTTAACTAGGCAGGCATTCAGCAAATAATTAGGAGCACTGTGTTGCGGGACAAGGTGGACAGGATGGGGTAGCGGATTCATACATCAGAGATTATTCCAGTGCAGAAAAAACACTCAATCTAAGGTGAGTCATGAAACATACTGAGAGAAGTAGAATACAAAATATCTGGTGATTGGTATCCTACAGAAGAGATTAAGTGAGACCTTTTAATGGAACCAGAGGATTAAGGCACTTCTGGCCATAGACATAAAACAGTTTTTCTTGAGAAGGCATTTCTTAAGCTGGATTATAATAGATGAATAAAGTTGAGAAATGGAGGGAAGTGATTACACAAAATGTGATATATCCATATAATGGAATACATTCAGTCTTAAAGAAAAAGGAATATCTGACACATGCTACAACATGAATGAATCTTAAGGAAACTTAGCTAAGTGAAATAAGCCAGTCACTAAAAGACAAATATTTCATGATTCCACTTATGTGTGGTAACTAGAGTAATCAAATTTGCAAATACAGAGCTTAGAAGGGAAGTTGCCAGGTGCTGGGGAGAGAAGGGAATGAGAAATTATAGTTTAATGGGGACAGAGTTTCATTTTTGCAATATGAAAGAGTCCGAGAAATTTAGACAACACTGTGAATGGACTGAACACTACTGAATTGTACATCTAAAATGGTTAAGATGACAAATTTGATGTTATATATAATTTTAAAAATTAAAAATGGAGTAAATTATAAGGAGGATAAAAAAAAGTAATGAAGGAAAGGTTTTTTTTTATTCCTTCTCCTTTTTTTGGGCGGGGGGGGGGGAGGTGTTTCCAACACTAAGAGTCAAGATGAAGCAAGGCAGGAAAGTGAAAAAAAAACCAGGATGTGTTTAGTTTGGTGGAAGGTTCATGGGAAGGAATAGTAGTAGATGATCAGGGATGAGCCTACATGCCAGCAAAGGAACTCAGCCTTAGTGTATACTTGGGTGCAAAGTAGTGAAATGTGTGGAGCTTTGTTTAAAAAGTTCAGGTCAGCAGGAAGCTGATTGTGAATGGATTGGAAAAGCTAGGTTGGAGTTTGGAAGTTGGTCAGGAAGCTGTTTAATAGTCTTGGTCAGAAGGCATGAGGGCCTGCACTTTGAGGCTTCAGAATAGAAAGGAACAAATTTAAGAGATGTTGGGGAGATGCAAGGAATACTAATTTGTAATTGTTTGGATAAGGGTAATGAAGAGGAAGATATTAAAGATAAAATAGAACAGTGGTTTTCAAAAAGTTTTAGGAACATTATCATTTCTCAAAATGAATTCATTTACAGAATTTCAATATATAAAATGGAGTGAAACAGAGTAGCTCATTTGAAGGCAAGGTGGGGAATATATAAGTTCCAATACCCCTGGCCCAGAGATGGCCACACTACTCTTAATGACATGGATAAATCCAGCCTTGGTGACAGGGAAGGCCATCCTATAATTAATAGAAAGAGTGATCTGGTTTGCTTATCAATTTTGCTTCAGAGAAATTTGAGGTGCTAATGAGCTATCATGGTGGAACTATCCAAACGTGGTCACTATAGGTCTGGAGCTTTGGAGAGAGGGTAACATTGAGGTTTCCATTTTAGGAGTTACCTGCTTATTATCAAATCTATGACAGTGCATGTAGGATTGTCAAATTCTGTCAAGGTCAAGAAAGAAGAGAGCTGAGGAATGGATCCTGGGGGGATACCAGGCTTCGGTATATACAAACTCAGAAGAACAGAGAGAGGAAGAGGCATTATGGCAAGTATAGTCAGATATAGAACAGTCAGGATCGTCTCTCAGTTGCCAGGTGGGGAGTAGAGAGTCTGCTATGTGAATAAACATAGCAGGTAGTCTTGTAACACATGCTGTCACATAATTACAAATTTTACAACCTACTTTCTTCATCCGGATCCCATTATATCTTTAAAAAATTTTTAAATATATAATTTTATTGATTTTAAAGAAGAAGAGGGAGAGAAAAAGAGAGAAAAATCAATGATGAGAGAGAATCATTGATTGGCTGCCTCCTACATGCCCCATACTGGTGATAGAGCCTGCAACCCAGGCATGTGCTCTAACCAGGAATTAAACCATGACCTCCTGGTTCATAGGTCGATGATGCTCAACCACTGAGCCACACCAGCTGGGTCAGATCACATTGTTTCTATGGCAATGACAGCTCAACGTGAATCTCAGAAATCTCTTTCCCAATTGATTTTTTGACTTCCTTAAAGTGAACTTTCACCATCCTTAGACTTCAAAATGAGGAGGCATTCATGTGGCATTCACTCAGCTGGAAATCAGTCAAGCTCCTTGTGTGAATGAAAAGGCTGTTTAGGCCTTGGTCCCAGGGTAATGACTACCGAAATACAATGTCTGGTTTGCTGGTATTTGACTCCACTGAATCTTGTATTTTGCAGTGACCTGAGTACTTATCCAAGTGAAAGTTTCTGGGCTGGTTTACTTATCAAAAATATATACATCAGGGTCACGTCTTTTTTATTTTCTCCCTTTCCCTTCCTACATTCCTCATTCCTTTCCTCTTACATTACATTCCCTACCACATTTAGACCTTTGCCAATGACTGTATTTATGAAATTAGGGGGTTATATAATCCCAGAACCTGACTAGCTTGGTGATTGGTGTCATCATAGAACAAAGTCTGATAATTCACATATTTCATAAAACATACCAGGTTCACTTATTTATTCTCAAGCTCTGTCCATTACTTTCTTTTCCTTTGTGTTATTTTTATTAAATTTATTGGGTGACATTGGTTAATAAGAACATATAGGTTTCAGATGTGGATTTATATGTTACAAGATATATAAACTGTACTGTGTAGCCACCATCTTCTGTGACCTTCCTTGTCTTGTTTCTTAATGGGCTTGGCATTCAAATCATTTATGAAAAGATGTTCGAAAAAGCTAAATCTAATGAAGGTTATTTGCCTTTTTTCCCACAGGAGGGAGACACTCCAAAAAAGGCAACCTCTGCAACCGTTACTGTCACCAACTCTGCTATTGCCACTGCCACTATTACCACCCCCGTCATAGCCACTGCCACTGCTACTGCTACAGCTACTACCACAAGCACTACCACTACCACTACCATTTCCACCACCACCTCTACCATCACTACTGGCCTATTGGGTAGCAGTCACCTGGAGATGACATCGTGGGCAGTCCTGCCCCTTCTTTCCACCAGCACCACCAGTGTCCGGAGACCCAAACTCACTTTTGATGACTCGTATGTTGTCCCCAGTTATCATGGACCCAGTTTGGGAATTGTGAATTGGGGGTGGTGGTAGTATGACGTTTTAGCACCATACAATGTGTCACCCAAAATAAGACCCCAGCAATTGTTCCTATAGCTTTAAAAGTATATCTGTCTTCCTCACATACTCCTATGCTACCTAAGAAATGTCTTTCACTCATTTAAATTGTAGATCTCTGTTACTGTTTCCAAAGCCAGCTGCTTCATTCTAGGTTTCTGTGTCCTCCTTTCTTTTTCATGTTTTTAGATAGAAATGTGTACCAACAAAGAGTTCTAATGGGTAATTATGCACTTCAAATTTCATTTACAGAATTATTTCAAGGTTATTTATTATATGAATGATAGCATTCATCTGCCCTTCTCAAGGCATTGTACAGGAATGGATTTATAGTAAAAAAAAAAATGGTCTTGATTATTCAGTTTTTAATGAAAAAATGAGCCATTGGTTTCTGAAAGAGGTTATTTTGTTTGTTTAGGATTCACAATGCTGATTATTACATGCAAGATGCTAAGAAGCTGAAGCACAAAGCTGATGCACTGGTAGGTTTGCTCCCTCTCATTGCTTTGTTCCCATTAAGGTATTATGCTTTAAAGGAAAACAAAGAAGACACTTTATAAACAATTTAAACTTTCTCATTGCTGCTCTGATATAGGGAGTTTGGACCTGGTTAATTCATTAACACTGTGATACCCAGATTCTTTTGTATTGTGATACCCTGCCACTCATGTATTTGTTTTTTTCATTATTATTTCCCTTGCCCTAACTTCAGTAGGTACATCGCATATACTATTAGCCTTATCTTTCAAGTGGATTTGAACTGACTTTTGAAATTGCTCTGGAGAAGGGGATGGGGGGATCTTTGGGTCTGGTAAACCAGAAACCAATATGGGAAGGAAGAGGGTTATTGAGAGCTAATATAGTGGCCTCAAAAATTGATATCTCAAAACAGGTGTGTAGAAAAAACTTAGCTCCTTGCTGCATTTGATTACGCGTTTCCAGAATGAGGCCCATAGCCAGGCTAGGACTCTGTACAAAGAGAAGTTCTGTCATCTGGAGTTTCCAAGACACTAGGCCCTGCTGCTGAGACCTGGACATGGGTATTAAAACTCCCCACGTGATTCCCAAGTTCAGCCAAGATTGAGAGAACCACTGCTTTAGCAAAGGCCTTAATGTCAGACTCCTCACCGTTGACTAAACCTCAGATAACTAGAGATATTAGTTAGCCCACTGAGTTAAAAAATATCATCCTCCATTATTAAATTGTGTCAGCCAGGACTTAGCTGTCCCATTGTTTGACACTAGGAGGGCCGGAAGAAAGTATCATGGTGGTCTCTGCACTATGATTTATGTGTAGTCAACATGAATTGTCCACGGACTTGCATCTGCTGTTTCTCTACATTTTTTTTTTTTTTTTGTCATTTTCTCACTGTGGTCCAAATTGCTCAGCTATTGTCTGCAGCTAACCTTTCTGTGGTGTTAACTGTCCATTGGAAACACTTGTTCTCTGCTTCTGCATATGAGAGCAACAAGGCAGGCCAGTTCCAGCTCCACTATAGATGCTGGGAAGTCTGTGCTTGTGACCATTGTATGTGTGGCGAGAGATTTGAGTGACATTGGTGGCCATGCTGCTGGTTGAAGACCAAAGTTATTTTTCCTAAATGTCCTCAACTGATTCACTGCATAAAGGCTCTGGAGTTTGCCCTCTGTCAAAATCAGGACAAGGGAGTACATAACTATTTATTTGACAAGCTGGTCCATAAGCTGATGAAAACTGGGAAACACCTGTGAGACCACACATATGACCAATTGTTAAAATAACAGAAAAATCAGAGCCACAGAAATACATATGATTCAGAATAAGCATCATTCTCTGCCGTCCAGGATCTGTTTATATGTTCCCCCTAAACCATCTTTGCATTTTCACCACAATGTATTTTCAATTAGGGAGATTCTGCCCCCATGGAGCCAAAGTGGTTCTTGGAAGTGGGGTGAAACAATCTTAGATGTTTCAATGGTTTGTGTCCCTTCAAAGGACCATAGTACATAAAGTGATCGTCAGCATATAATTGTTATTAAAGTTTTAATGGGAATGTGTGAAAAAAAATCTTAACAAGCCCCATCTGGGGATGGTTATAATGGGGAAAAAGGGGGGGCTGGGAGTTGTGAAACATTCATTTAGAGTATGGTATCTTTGCTAGGCTTATATCTATTCTAGAGTTGGAAGTCCCCTGGTAATTCAAGCTCATTATGTAATAGATAGAGAAAATGATGCCCAGGAAGGGGATATGATCTGACCACTAACTGTCACTATGGTTTTGAAATTTCCCTGTACTTCTGTTTCACCTTTTTGAAAAGAGAATAGAATAGGAATAAGAGAACTTTAAGGATCATTCCAGCTATGGATTTATGAATAAAATCACATTTTCAAAAATCAAGATGTAAAGATAAATTTCCAAATGGGAGAACTATTCGGAGCCAGACGACCTCAGGAGATTATTTTGTAAGCCAAGAGAAGATAGTTTGCATATACATAGGTTTTCAGAAAATCACTTTGAATTTCCTTGAAAACAATAGTCTCCAAAGCATCTCACAGAAATGAAACCACAGAATTCCTGCAATACATAAAAGTGGCAAAGCATTTTTTGTAAAAAGAGTCATTTACAACAAGAAGTTATGCAAGACCTCTAACTCATCATTTTATAGTTGTACTTAATGCTTTGCTAGAGACAGCTACTCTGCCATTTTGAGAATTGCTACCTGTACTGGTGCATAAAAATATTTTTATAAGATATACAAGAAAATTAAAATAGCTAAATCTGTATTATATTGGCCCTTTTACACAAAATTCTGCATTAGTGGAATTCTTATATCCGGCTATCAAAAATGAATTTTAAATACTGTTATAAAATACTCACTATAAAAATGTCATATATAATATTCATTACACATAAAAAAAAATCAGTATGTCTAAGTCACTTTAATGGTGACCATTATCAAGGCTAAAACCTTTTGTAATAAAATTTTACTAAACTGAAATATTTAGTAATGCTATATTTCTTGGCTTTTTGACACCCTAATCCAGACCATTATTTTCAATGAAAGTGATGTGGTTATTGTCAACAGTCACACTATAGCTTCACATTTTCATGAAAATACCATCAATTTGTTATTCTTCTCTGTGGATATGAGGTTGATGTGCTCACAAAGAGTTCTAAGCAAAGACTGTATGTTAATTTTCTTTGAGGCTTACAGAAAGCAGTTTTATTGCAAGCAGGTCTATAGGATACTACAATGACCAGTCTAGTAATTTTAGGGAATAAAAACTAGTCAAAACAGTGATTTGGATTCTGGTCTATCAAAAGATATGATACCTTAGCTACTTTTCTTTCCTTAACACCAGCTTCAGTGTGATGACAATGGAATCTTAAATTAATTATGTTATTGTCAATATAAATTCATGCATTCTACACTAGGGTTTCTCAACCTTTGCATTGCTAGGCTGGCTAATTCTTCATTGTGGAAGCTTCTCTGTGCATTGTGGAATGTTTATCCACATCTCTGGCCGCTGCCTACTAGACACCTCCTGCCCCTAAAGGCAACAACCAAAAATGTATTTAGACATTGCCAAGTCTTCCATGAGGGAAGGGTGGAAATCTGCCCTAGTTTGAGAACTCTTCCTTTATTTGAAGGAGAGAAGGGAATACCATAATACTACATCTTCTTCTTGTTTTAGTTCGAGAAATTTGGCAAAGCTGTGAATTATGCTGATGCAGCCCTGTCTTTCACTGAATGTGGCAATGCCATGGAGCGTGACCCCCTCGAAGCAAAGTCTCCGTATACCATGTACTCCGAGACTGTGGAGCTTCTCAGGTAATTGGCCTTTCTGCAGCCAACTTCCTAAACTCATTTCAGTCATCATTAGAAGCTGCTATTTTTAAAAACATCATTTCCACATAGTAATGATGTGTCCAAGGCATCTTCTTCTTAGAAATCATAATTAGTTCTTGTCATTTTATTAATGTCAGAAAATTGATAATTGGTGGACACTGCTTTTATAAATCATCCCCTTTAGAAGTTATAATCTTCTATAATAATAAAAGCTTAATATGCTAGTTAGATAGGACATCTCCCGGATGTCATTCCAGACGTCCTTCCTGATGAACCCAGGGCCAGAGGGAAGCTGGTGCTGGCAGCTGGAAAAAGGAAGGCCTACTCTTGCATGAATTTTCATGCATCTGTCCTCTAGTGTGATATAATTTGCAATATTCATAAAATTCAAATGGAAACACGGTGGGTAGAAGTATAATAATTTCACTGTTTGCCATTGACATTTGTATTTTCAAAGTGCAGTTTTAGAACTAAAAAATAATGGTGTGATTGGGATTTGTGTTATAATCCATATTCTGTAAGAACTTTTCTGCAGTTCTTTTTACAAAAGAACTTTTGTAAGAACTTTTCTGAACGTTTTAAATGTAAAATTTTTTTTAATTATTTAAGAAGAGAGAGAGTACTCTTCCAACATTAAGTAAGGCCACAGGTGTGGAGTAGACTTTCCCTGCATGTAGAATTTCAGGAAAACAGACAAGGTGGTAGCGGGGGCAGAGCAGACATGAGAATAGGAGAGCATATATTAACTGCCCAGATTATTGGTTTCATCTGTATTTTAAATGAAAATTTTTGGCCTGTTGGCCTTGACAGAGTAGAATTTGTAGGTAATCAAAAAATTCCTGGGAAAGGAAAGGGGAAAGAGAATAAATGATATCCATTCTAGTGTTTTCCAGTAACTTGCAGGTATTTGGAAAGTAATATACCTCTGAATGGTGGATAAGCACCAACATTTGCTGGACTGATTGAATAATTGTTTTTGATTGAACAAATAGATCTTTACCTTATATGCCCTTATATTCTGGTCACCTCTGACTTGATTAATCAATGTCCGGCCTGATTTCTAGGTTTTTACTCTGTTGTTTATATCTGTATAAATGCTTACAAATCTGAGGATACTTGTACCTAAACCTTTAAGCAATTGGACAAATTTAGCATACACATTATCATAGGAAAGCATTTCAGAATATCCAAAGAATGTGAACCATTCTAAAGAAAAAAAATGCTCACAGGAATAAGAAGATTTAGTTAAAAAAAAAAAAAAAAAGTAAAGAGATCATGAAGAAAGATCTAGCCTTGCCTTGCCAAACCAGGCAGCCATCTTAGTCTTTTCTCTGCTCTGATAAGCATGTAAAGTATCTCTCTAACTTCATGAATTGGTGAAAGCCATCACTGCCATTCTATAGCTTTTAAGGGAAAATTGATTTTTTGTGTCTATTCAAAGCTTTCTTTTCAGAGTGCATAAGATGAAAATTCTGGCAAAAAATGATAAGCATTGAAAATTAAGAGAAAATAATAAACAAACATGGAGAAAATTCATGTCTTCTATTCATCCAAAATGTAAAAATTTTTTAAAAGGCACTTTTTAAATTAACAAGAAAATGTAAAAATGTTAATCTCAGGTTGTTAGCACTGACACAAATAATATTGCTGAACTAGGCCTGTCCTATGCTGATGATAGGAGAAAAAGTGATCATTGTATATTGAGGACAATTGGGCATTGAGTAGGAAAGCCTATTAATATAAGTATTTATATATTTTGAGCCATAACTCAACGTCTAGAAACTTGAATTTTCCCTGCTCAAGAAAATAATTGTAGGAATAGTACAAGTTATCTTTATGGTGTTCTGTTTGGCATAAATTATAGCACACAATTAGAAGCAAACTAAAAAAATCAATAAGAATAATTAATTACTTTGTAGTACACACAACAGAACACTTTGCAGTCCTTGAATTGCAACAATTATGGAGACTATGTAGGTATATGAAAATGTTTATAACTTGATGTTAAAGAAAAGCAATCTTCAGAATTATATGTACATTACATTTCTGACCATGAAAGGCATGTTTCTGCATGTGGACCAATCTGGAAGGGAAATGAATTCATAGCTGTAATGGGGTGAAATTATGGGTGTTTTCCCTTTCTATATAGTTTTCTTTCATATTAATTTTCTCTTAGGAAAATACATGCTCTCTGAAATCATAAAAGTAAAACATCAGTTTTCTTTTCTGGCAAAAATGCAATGTGAATCATTGAGTAATATTTATTTCCATTAGAATACACTACCCTTAATGTTTTACATAATATTTTTTTCTAAGTACAGGTTTGTCTTTTTCTTTATATGATAGTTTACTCCCTATAGAAGTATATTTCAGTAGAACCTCATGAAAATTGTAAACAATTTATGGAAATACACTTTAAAGTCAATATTCTAAACCATTTGGAATTAATCTAGACTCATACAATCATAAGAAATGATACAGAAAGATCCTGTGTACTCCCCAATTTTACATGTATCTCCTCTCTCTCTCTCTCTCTCTCTCTCTCTCTCTCTCTCTCTCTCTCTATATATATATATATATATATATATATATATATATATATATATATATATAGATATCCCTCTGGATGGCCTGCAGGAATTGGGGCGAAATCTGCAGTCCAATGCAGCCTGCAGCTCCTACCTGCCCCTCCCGCTCATCCCAGCCCCACTGTGCCTGCCTCGGGCTTGCACCCAATCAGTCCTAATCAGGAGAGGCTTGCGCTGCCCCAACAGTGCTTGCTAGCCATGAGCCCTGCATCTGAACCTCCCAAGGAGAGTGACCTGCAGGATTGGGCTAAAAAGGGCTCTCCAACATCACCTGAGGGGTCCCAGATTTCGAGTGGGTACAGGGCAGGCTGAGGGACCCCACCAATGAATGCTTGAGCTGGGGAGGGACCTTGGGGTGGCTCCAAGGTGTGTCCAGCCCATCTTGCTCAGTCCTGATTGACCAGACCTCTGCATCAAACTAATCTACCAGTCAGAGGATCTGCCCCCTGGTGATCAGTGCACATCATAGCAAGTGGTTGAGCAGCCTTAGCATATTATTAGCATATTAATGCTTTGACTGGTTGTTCGATTGTTCTGCCATTCAGTCTATTTGCATATTATCCTTTTATATATAGGATATATCACCTTTAATGTAGTATGTGTATATAATTTTTTTCTAGAGACATTTCAGTTGGGAATAAAATAAGCTAAAACAACTAGGTCTTCTGATCTATTTAACCAATTGAAGTTGCACTATCAAGTCACATCAAAAGTGGTTGCAATTAAAGGATAACTATAATATAAACATAGTTTTTAGTAGTGTAATATTATATTGAATATATTTTTATTACTCCCTAGCCCCAATAGTATGCTGGGTACAGAGAGAGCCCCATTTTTATTCAAGTAATTATAGTTTCTCTGAACTTGGGAATCTGCAGTGGAAATGTATTTGTGAAAGCAAGTGGGACAACACAAGAACTTGACATTTCAGTGACCCAATTATAAAAGACATATTTATTACATAATAAAATCATTTTGCTTAATATTGCAGCAATAGGAGGGATCCACATCAATGCACAGGTCCGTTTGTTGAAACATGTTCACTGAACAGACTGGAGCAATAAGTGGAACATAGAGTTTGCCTAGAAGGTGCAGAGTGTCGGGGAGCAAGCCCACACAGTTATGGGGAGGCTACTGACAATGGGGAGTTCATGGTGCAAGCACAGTATACTTGCTGGTTCTCTATTCCCTTCTTGTAAATGAGAACTAGTTCAGGGTGCCTGCATACTTTTAACTTCCTTCTGCAACTTTAAACTCTGCTACTTATTCCATCATCAGCACCTATGAAATTGGCATTAAAGCTCAGACTGATTTTATGCAATGAATTTATTTCCAAGATTCTAAATGCCCAGAATGAAATGTGCTCAACTAAAAAAAAAATAAAATAGGAATTATTCAACCTTTGATCAACCCAGTGTAGAAAGTAACAATTTAAATAGAATGGAAACACAAAATATACAAGCATCATAAATTAAGGATTTATGCCAACAAATGCTGTGAAATTGACCTTCGTTTTTGTTTGTTTGTTTGTTTGTTTGTTTTTTAAAAAATACCACTTTCTATAGGAATATATTCCAAACCTGAGCCATTAAAAAGGATTATTAACTGTGTGATTGTTGTCTCCCCATGCTCCTGTCACACACAGTTGTATATTATTTACTTCATTTGTTACTAATGCAACTGAGACTGACATTTGTGTCCTACTCCCACTGAAAATACAATAATGTTTAGCAAGGTATTTCTAGAAACAGAATTTATATACACACCAAACCAACAGTAATTCCATACCTCTGTCTGAAAACATGGGTTCTGGATTTAGCCATCTTCTCCAGATTTATTATAGCTGACTTCTCCAGAGTTAACTTTTGTAAGTCATACCAGTGGCAATCTTGACTATAATTTGTTTATTCAAGAAACTGTGCTTTTGCCCACATGCCCTAGGGAATATTCCCTCTCAGAGCATATGTGAGACTAACACATTTAGAAGATGGGACTTTGGGACTTTCTGAAGGATAATATAGATTCCACTTGAGCTTGTAATTTCTCTTCAAAGGTATGCAATGAGGCTGAAGAACTTTGCAGGCCCCTTGGCTTCAGACGGGGACAAAAAACTGGCAGTATTATGGTAAGTCTCATGGAGGCCAAGAGAAAATGGCAGAAATGTTGCAGAACAATTTGAAAACTCCAGATAAACTTTAAGCTACTTAACCCAGATATTATTCTTGTTTTCCATTAAACTATTAAGGGATAACGTATTTCTTCAGTCACTGACTAAACATTTATTCTCCTAATTTATACCCTTATCAAGATGGAATTTTAATGCTCAACCTTTTTATTTTAGTTTTTTAATACTTAAGTTTCCCAGTAGCTATAGGAAGGGTATGAATCAGCATTTTTTATAGTTTTCTGGTTATGGGATTAACATAATCCTTTTCTCATCCCTACAGCTACAGATGTTTATCACTTCTCTACTTACGGATGTTTAAACTGAAGAAGGACCATGCTATGAAGTACTCTAGATCCTTGATGGAATATTTTAAAGTAATCCTTATTTTTTTAAATAATTTATAGTTTTTGGGTAATCACTAATAATATTTGGCAAGTATGTTATTAAATATCAAGATTATTGCTGTCAAAGGATAAACTTCCCTTATCCCAACAGACCATGGCCCTCCCACCTCTCCTTTGGGACTCAGCAGAGAGCTTTTGTTTTATTTGATTCCAGGGAGAAAAGGTACAACAATAGTGCAATACCCAAATTATTCTCTGGACTAACCAAATGACCCTTGGCAGCTTCCCAGTTGCAGTTAGGGGGATGATATCTTCTGAACTACCCTACATGATGGACCCACCATGAAACACAGCTTGTGGCTATGATCACTCTTTTGTTAAATAAGAAGCTAATTCAGAAATTTCTCAACCTCTGGGTCCATTGGCAATGAGGATCCTTGAAGTACAGTGGTTGAAGTTAAATACAATTGATTACTTTGGTTAAAAACACAAACAAAAAATAAATAAATCTACAATATAGGGAGCTAGAATGTTTAATTTGCAAGGAAAAGAAATTATATATATCAACTTGCAATGCCAAAATTTGGGAATGAGCCTGGATGACAACTGCAATTAGTAGCCTGTTGCTAGGCCTGGCCAGTCTACCAGAAATAACTGGCATGAGCATCAATGGAACTTGTGCTGTTTATGTTCCCTCCTCCCCCAAAAAAACTGGTCAAAATGTAAAATTGAGGAGGCTCAGGACTCATATTGGGCTGGTTTCAAAAAAAAATACCTATCTATCTATCATCTGTCTATCTATCTATCTATCTATCTATCAATCTATCTATCATCTATCATCTATCTATCTAATCTATCATTTGCCAAGTACACGAGAACATTTGGCTAAATTGCACCAAAGCAGTTTGAAATTTAAATGAGTTAAATCATGACCTTACATCAATCATCCAAACCCAGTGAGTGTCAGGGCACAGCCAGCTATGTAATAACACTGACTAGGTTTGGACAAAGAGCAGGTTCACTAGTTATTATGTGGTTTATCCATAATGCCATAAAGCTAGTGCTTATGTAGGTGGACAGGTTGAAATATAACAACTGCCCATCCCTTCATATCTCTACAGTCTCAACCTATGTTCTAGGAAGGTGATTCTTAAGCCTGAGTTGGCATCCCAATCCCCTATAGGGCTCACAATACCAGAGCACTAGGTCTCATCCCGCAGAGTGTCTGATACTCTATGTCTGAGAATTGGCATTTTAATAAGTTTCCAGGTAATACTGATGGTGCTGGTCCTTTGGTCATACTTTGAAGGCCAATGCTCTAATATCTGTCCTCTAAGGCCTGTCCTGTAGCTTCCAGGGCATTCCAAAATACAAAACAGACATTTAATAATTTACACCTCTGTCAGAGCATTGAGCTTCTTTGAGATTAAAAGTTGGAGTTTGCAGAATGTGACTTAGATGTGGATCTCTGAGCTCCAGAGAAATGGTGCATTCTCACTGTGCTCTTGAAAGTGCTGTCTCTCTCTCTCTAGCACCCCATTTGCAAATGGAGCTGAGCATAAACCCAAGAGGCAGAAGAGGAGCATAACATGGGCCATGAGGCCTGAGAGGCAGACCTGAGTCAGGCTCAATGCCACAAATATTCTGTCCCTGTGCTACTTGGGCTCCAACCTGGTCATTATAATGAGCCTGGTCACTGTCTTGTTATGGTGATGCTGAGTATCATATTCTCCTGTACTCTACAAGTGGTTGGCCACAAAAATATAGCAGACCGATTCTTTAACCCAGCCCAAATCTATCAGATGAAAATAGAATGCTGAGCATTCCATTGCAATGCAACCCTGGACCAATTACATTGCTAAATACTGGAAACAGTCATGAGGATTGGCATGTAAAGATAGCAAATCAATTCACACACACACACACACACACACACACACAAAAAAAAAAAAAAAAAAAAAAAAAAAAAACACACACACAAACCACTGCTTGGTCCTAACAACTTCTTGGTATATCAGAAATCACAGCCCACCTAGAATCCCAGGGAAAATGTTTGCAATTGGAGCGAAAAGTGAAAAGCTTTCCTGTACTCTGAAGAGCTTGTTTTGCAAAATAAATTTCAGATGAAGATAATTAAACCACTTCTTGGAGAACTAAGTCTGATTTCACTGGGCCTTTTATTATATAAGATCTTTCATCAAGTGACTTTCATGTTCCTGATTGTAGGCCACTAATTATCCTAACCAGCTATTTTCATCGAGTGTTTGTTGGTCGTGGTGAGCTGATGTGCACATATATCCTAGCTCTGCTAACAAAACAAGAGGCATCCTGAAATGCTGCAATCAATATTAATGTACTCTAAATCACACTTCCATCTGTTTGTGAATCAATAAAACACAAATAGATGTCCTTATTTCCCTCTCTTTCTCTCTTTTAGCAAAATGCTTCAAAAGTCACTCAGATACCATCTTCATGGGTAGGCAATGGAAAGTAAGTATCTTATGAAAATTGCTTTTTCTGAAAATCAATGATATAATAGACCCCAAATATTTTGTATTGACAACTCAGAAGAAAGGTAAATTTTGAGAATATAGTAATTTTTGTACACACAAAATTCTAATCAAATTTTAGCTAATTCCAAAACAGAAAAGGTTAACATGATCTGATTTGAAATTTCTTTAACTATTTGATCTTTAAGCTATATTATGGCCTTAAAAATGTCTGTTAATGAGATGGCAAACACCAAGCCATTTCAGGGAGGCAGGGTAAAAGTTAACTTTAATGTAGTGATTTTTCAATAATTCGCTCAGTAAGGAAAAACCGATGAAATATTTATTGATATAAGGTAAGTACTGTTTAATAAAATCAAATGAATTATAGTGCTAAAAATGTGAAGGCACTTAACCAGCCAATTATCTGAGCCTTCATTATGATTTTTATATTATTATTAAAATACCCTGACCTAAAATATAAATGCATCTACTGTAATGTTGATTTAAGGCTCAGTGAACTCATCTACTCTAGTGGCCATATTTAGAGCTCTATGTGCTTGGGGCAGCTCAGCCTTCCAGCAGTAGGGTAGATGTCTGGAAATCCGTTGACCAGGTCCTGATACTGCTCTTAAATTCCAAGGTAAGCTAATTGAACCCCTTTTTTTCTATGGGGTTTTTCTCTATCTCTAAAATAAAAAGGCTGGGGCTGATGACTTCCTGGCCCATCTGAAGAGCTATGCCTTCCAAGAGAGAGACTTTGAGTCTTAATTTTGGCTCAGCCATAAATTGGCTATGTGTTTGTACTTACTTGCTAGAGCATTAAATTATACTTTGATGTTGATACCATCTTTACCACCCCAAGCTAGTAGTGAGAAGGGAAAATAGGTGACTGTGGACACAAACATTTATAAAGTGCTTATTTTTTTATTTCCATCAATTCAAAAGTCTTGCATCTCTGACCAAAACACTTTCTTTGAGAGTAAAATAGTCTCCTCTGCCACTTTATATATATACTAGAGATCTAGTGCACAAAATTTGTGCATGGTGGGAGTCCCCTCAGCCCAGCCTGCACTCTCTCCAATCCAGAATTCATCGGGGGATGTCCGACTGCTGAGGATTGAGCTTAAACTGACAGTCAGACATCCCTCTCACAATCCTGGACTGCTGGCTCCTAATCACTAACCTGCCTGCCTGCCTGGTCACTCCTAACTGCCAACCTGATTGCTCCTCACTGCCTCTACGTGGCAGCCTCATCACCCCTAACTGCTCTCCCAATGGCCTGGTGGCCCCCAACTGCTCCCCACATTGGCCTAGTTGCCCCTCACTGCCCCCCTGCCAGCCTAATCACCCCAACTGCCCCTCTCTCCTGGCCCGGTAACCCCTAACTGCAACCCCTGCTGGCCTGGTTGCCCCTAAATACCCCCCCCCCCCCTGCTGGCCTAGATGCCCCACACAGCCTGCTGTTCAGTCATTTGGTCATTCCTCACTAACCTCCTGCCGGCCTGGTCATAGGCAGCCATCTTATGAGGGTGTGAGGGTTAATTTGCATATTACCTCTTTATTATATAGGATACAAAGCACACTCCCAAAGCAGTGGGATGTTAAACTCTAAGATCATAAAGACTTTCAGAGTGTGGGAGCAGATCTATTAAAAACTATGCATTAACTCAATTACTATATTTAAAGGCAGTACCATTTAAATTATTGAATTAGATCTTATTCTCATATTGACAAACAAAAATGAAAGAACACTTCTCTCTGCAAGTTCAGAAAATAAAAATAGCATTTAAAGGCCCAGTATTTTCTCTGAGCACAGAGTAAATCAAGGGCAAGTTTGGGTAAGCAACCATTAAGGATCACTGCAAATCCTATCTAATAAAGAGGGAATATGCTAATTGACCCTCATGCTGTGGCAAAGATGGCAGCACCCAGAGCCAATAAGGAGAGAATATGCTAATTGACTGCTTGCCCTCAAAGATGGCAGCACCCACAGCCATAAGATGGCGACTCCCAGTTCCCTCAGCCCTGCCCAGGGCCTCAGGCAGGCCCAGTCACTCTGCACACCTGCCTCCAGAGTCCCCCTGTCACCTCACCCTCCCAGTTTCCCAGGGCCAGCCTGAGGTGCAGGCAAGCCTAGGATGGTAGCTGCCCAGCCGCTCAAGGTTCCCTGAGGCTCAGGTAACCAGATCCAGCAAAGACTTGTGCTACTGGCAGTGGCAACAGCAAAGGTGAGATGGAGCATCACCTTTCCCTGATCTCTGAGTTGCCTTCTGCCCCTGAGGGCTACCAGACTGTGAGAAGGGGCAGGCGAGGCTGAGGGACACCCCCCCCCCTCCAGTGCATGAGTTTTCATGTACTGGGCCAATATATATATATATATATATATATATATATATATATATATATATATATATATGTAATCTGAAATGAAAAAAACTGGAAAATATTCTAAGCTTGTAAAGTCTATTAAAAACCTGTAATCATTTTTAAGCAGCTTCTATCTGAAGAAAGCATGCTCCTTTTGGTAGGCCATAGAGGTAATGAATTAGGGAACTCAAAATATTCATTCAAAGGTTGTATCCTGTCTATTCAACAAACACTTCAGGTGCATTTCCTTTTGAGGGGCTGAGGATCCAGCTGAATTCAATGTGATTTCTGCACTCCAGAAGTGCAGAGTCCAGTAAAAGGACGTGACAGGTATGAACAAATTTCTTTGGAAGCCCAAGAAAAAAGAGAGCTTGGGCCTCTTTGGCTAAGGAGGGCTTCTTATCTGCAAGAAAAAACTGGTTTCCCTAGTAAATGAGGATAGCTGCTCCCACACAGCACCTCTCATAGCACCTTCCAGAAGCAGCACCTCTGACCTTGAGGGCTATAGGGGAAGAAAGGCCAATAAATCAGTTGGAAGAAGAAGAAAAATCAGCTTGGTATAGAGGAGAAGTTGACAAAGGTTTTCTGTAAATAGCCAAATTGTACTATTTGGGGATTTGCCAGCTAAATCAGAAAACTGGGACTATTATATAGAAAGAATATAAAAGAAAAAATAAATTTCTTTAAAAATTTAATGGTGAAATTCAAAATATAATAATTAAGTACAACCTTTATAATACGAGTCCCCTAAGGATAAGAATGGAATTTAAGAAAAAAAATATTAACCTAATTGAGATTTAAAGTTAGTGTTCCCCTCTCATCAAATTGATTGCAAATGTTCATCTTCTCACACCATTGTAGCTCATAGGCCATGCAGAAACAGATAATAGGCCAGATTTTCCAAACCCTGATGCAGAGTCATGGATGTCATGTTGTGGACAGTTTAAAGAGCTGGGCAACAATTTTAAAAGTCACATAGAGAGAATAAAAAGAAAGAGATGTAGGAATGTTATGGAATTGTGAGAGAAAGAGGCCATTTGAGGTCTTTACAGGAGCTGTTTCAGTAGACAGGTGACTATAGGTGTGGCATTGAAAGGGTTAGAAGAGAATGGATGTCTACTTGCTTGAGACATGGGCCAGTAAAAGGATTCTGAGGAGTCTGTTGCTCACTGGAGAAAACATCCACATTAAACAAAACATGGGAGGGCTGTGCCTGTGTGAACATGAGTGAGATACCTATGAACCTGGGAGAGCAGTGAAAATAAGCCAATATGGACATCAGGTGAGGGTAGAGGTGGACAGCTTTATCAAGTGAAATATTTTGTACAGTGAAGAATAAGACTTTTAAGTGACATGGTAGAATGGAAGGAAGGTAGACTTTGAGAAAAACAGACCTGTTTCCTAAAAATCTTTCAATTACAGTTTATTTTCTATATTATTTTATATTATTTTCAGGTGTCCAGCATTGCCATTAGACAACCATGTACTTTACAAAGTATTACCCCAATAGTTCCAGTAACCTCCTGGCAACATACATAGTGATTACAATATCATTGACTATATTTCCTATATTGTACTTTATTTCCTGGTGACTATTTTGTAAATTCTGATATGTATTTCTTAATCCCTTCATCTTTTTTTCACCCAGTTTCCCAAATGCCCTCCCCATTGGCAACCATCATTCAAAACAGACATGCTTTCAAACTTTGGCCCTTTGATTTTTCTGTGTGATCCTCAGAAAGGAAATGCACTTCTCTATGCCATTTTGTCATCTGTTAAACAGTGGTGACAGAAACTCACCTATAGAGTTATCTTGAAACTTGGAGATACTATTAATAAAGCCTAGAGCACCATGCTTGCTACATAGTAACTTTATAAAATGGTGGCTGCCTCCATTTTTGTTGTCATCATTACCCTTTTTAGCTGGAAATCATAAGCAATTTTGCTCCTAAAACTCCCACAGCTCTTAATTTGTTACAATAGGTTGCTAGAACTTAATGGATTCTGCTCTTCTATTATATTATTAAGGGCCATTTATTCACCAAACATTGTGTGCTGACTACACGTGAAGCACCTGCTATACCCTTTAAATATTCTCTATCCTTGTGCTACATGTATTCTTCTGCCCTCCTCAGGGCACCTTGTAAGTAGTGGATATTAAGTAAGGAATAGAGGGATAGCTGGAAGATAATTTGTTTATTTACTCTACTGGTATTAATTAAATACAGATATTTTTATACAAAGCATAGGATAATCAGAAATAGACAAAAATTCCTGCCCTTGTAAAAGTTACAGCCTGTTGGAGGAAAGACAGTAAAAAAATATGCAGTATGCTAGATGATGATTAATTTCGGTGAGAAAATAGAAATAAGGAATGGGATAATAAGGGCTTCTGTGGATGGGGCAGGGAACAGTAGGACAATTTTTAATAAGTATGTTAGTGGAGAACAATGGGAGAGTGAGCCCTGCAGATACCTGAGGGAAATGCATTCAAGCAGAGGAACAGCAACCACCTCTTAAGTGGGGAAATGCCTACTGAGTCCAAATAACATCAAGGGGGTAAGTGTAACAGAGAGGATGGTGGGTTGGACCAGGGTACTAGTGGTGGAAGAGGTGAGGAGAATGTGCTTGTCTGGGCATGTTCATTTTTACATGCCATGGATGTGTGAAGAAAAAGGACAAGATCTGCAAACAGACCCACAGAAAGTAAATAGGATGAGGAATGCCAAGCAGTGGGGAGAGCCAAGTTGGAATTGGAGTCATACCAAGATGAGTGCTGTATCAACCATCTTTTTGCCAGAGTCATGATTTCTTAGAAACATTATCATTTTTCATTTCATTATTACAATGCAATGTACAGACATGCTCATGAGAAAGTCAGCTCATGGAACTTCATGTGAGATCAGTAATGACTGAAAGCAAACCAATGCCCTAGCTCTGCGCGACTCCACTACTCATTACTTCAAAAAAAGGAAATAAGAAGGGGAAGGCAAAGAATGCCCCTCAATGACACTTCCATATTTATAAACTAAAAAGGCCTTTTCAAGTTTTACAAGGTCAGCAGAGGTGATTTGTTCCCCCTTTGTAACTTCTGGACATTATTTGAAATCACTGAGTCCAACCTTTTCTTCCAGTAGACAAAAAGCCCTACGAAGGAAAGCGATGTACTCAGGAGAATACAGCAATTCATGGGGTTAGGATTCAGGTCTCCTGGGATTCCAGTACTTTCCAAGGACATACAGTTCCCTTTCAACATTTGTGACATCTGGCAGATTTGCAGTTTTCTCTAGAAATTACAAATGAGGACATATTCCATTCTTGCCTTAAATTGACATTTAAGAGTTAATAGCCAACACTAGGGGAAAAGGCTTGACAATAACATTTGTAACCTGCCGTGACAAAGAAATCCAGAATTCTCTGCTTTTCTGTGTATGTTATTAGCTGACCCTTCTGTGCCTAGGTCCCTTAGCTTGGACCTCTCTCCACCACACCCCTCTGTTGAGAATAAATCTATCAAAAAGTATCAAAACATCTCATAAATTATAAACAGAGCAGAAAAACCTTCACACTCTTACATAAGACAAGTTCAGAACAGGTAAGGATCCACTTTCTCCCTCATACTAGAACGTACCAGAAGATATAATCTGTTTGCAGAAATGGACCAAAGCTCTCATGTGGCTAAAGGCACAGCCTGCATGAATCTTGAGGCAAGTATAACAGTTGGAATTGCTTCTAAATTGAGTCAGCAGTACTTTGGCATTTTGGTACCTTGTGATTGCCATTCCCCCCAGATCCTTTAAATATGTGCCTCTTTGGGTGCACATTGGTTCTATGAGCAGGGTTAGCTCTGAGTAACACAGCCACTCTGAAAATCTAGAGTTGCCAACAGCAGTGGCTGGTAAAGGGGAGATGGAATGAGACAGGGATCCTTGGTTTGGGGAAAGGACAGTGTTTGGAAGAATGAGGAGAAGGTTCCTTTCAAATAGGCAGACTTAGGGAGTCTCAATTACAGCTTTTCCCTACTTGTTTCACTCAACCACTCAAATGTTCAAATGTGCTGCATTTCACTGGGCAGTCTTTCGTAGTCTGGGTGAATGAGTATAGGGAACCCAGCGGTGAACATGGACCTCTCTTATGGGCACAGGAAGGCACCCATACCTTTGGGACTATCTCCAAAGAAGTCGGCAGCAGAGCAACCTAATGTCAGCCCCTCCTATGCAATATGCAGCCAGCAGGTAACTCCATGTCGCTAACATTAAATAACTAATAAAATTATCTCCAAATATTTGTAATGCCCAAAGTAGGAATGCCAAAGACTTCTCTTTATAAACCAGCATACAGGTGAATAAGCCACAATTAACAGCCATCCTTGTAGCAGTCTTAAAGAATCCTAAAGAGATCTTCAGAATCTTACTTTTTCCAGCTTCCCTAATACTGCTCCTTGGCAGACTTTAAAAAATTACTCCTTGTAGTGACTGCATTTGTAGCAACCAGTTGTTGTGTTCTCCACAAAACACTTTGATAATAGACCAATATTGTTTTCTAAATGCCAATAGCCATGTGGCAGCAGGTAGAGAAATCATCATAGCTCTGAGCTTTTTTTTTTTCTTTCTATAAAACATCACAACCCCAGTTATATATATATTCAAACTAAGAAATGCACTTGTGGGTAGAATTAATGCCAGAGAAATATTTATCAGCTCTTTCTATATTTAAAAATTAATGTAGCAACGCACGTTAAAGGCAGTGTGACTTCACTATTTAACATTAGAAAAGGAGAAGGGCTCATGCGATAGCCTGGCACTATAGCCTTGTGTGGGTTTCTCAGATGAGGAAGGAATGGGGAGATAATAAGCTTTCTCTATATTGGAGCATCTGGAGAAACTTACTGTGTTGGCAAAAAATATAAGATGTCATTTGACAAGAGTCAGTGGAATGTGGGAACAAGCTCCACTGTACTTGGGCTTCATATACGTTCACCATGCTAAACCTCACTATGGCAAATGGTTCTGAGAAGGTCCCTGTGTGATGAGGGAGGTCAAGACCCCATTGTCACTATTCTCAACTAGACTAACAAAAATCTGTCTCTTCCCCTTCCCCAGGAACAATTCATCTCCAATGTGTCTCAACAATGCCTCTCCCATCGATGCAACGGGGAATTATAACAATGGCCCAGTCACCATTCCCCAGCGCATTCACCATATGGCTGCCAGCCATGTCAACATCACTAGCAATGTGTTACGGGGCTATGAACACTGGGACATGGCCGACAAACTGACAAGAGAGAATAAAGGTATGCTCATCTGCTCTACCCATTGTTCATAAACCATGGTGAAATCAACTATGCTTTGAAGGGCTTGAATTTTCCTGGTGGCCTTATCTTTATGTCTCTGATTTTCAGGGCTTAGATAGAGAAGAGTGAGTGACCAATTTTATTTTATTTTATTTTTAGAAAGTGAAAAAGTCTGAGATTTAAGTATCTTTTAAAGCTTAAACTAACCTGAACTGTGATGTGTTAGCAAGTGACTATTTCAGATTTTCACTCAGTGTAAGGATAAACACAGAGATTGGGCAAAAAGAGAATGATTCTCAAGTTCATTATGATCCTGTTGGCTTCTGTTGTCAACTTTAATCTTTCTGGGAGATGGGGGGGGGGGGGTGAGATTGAACTAAGGCCTTCTACCTTCATTATAACTGGTAGCTCAAGTGAGTACATGATAACGTAGCTTGAATTTATAAGCAAGGGCCAAGGCTCAGCTAGTATTTTTAACACGCGTATAGCTAAAAGTTCTGTTCATGTAACACATGAGGTTTCCTACAAAACAAATGCAAGGAATATCATGCTTTACCAGAGGGTAAGTGAACATTGATGACTCATGCTGCCATCTATGACTCTAGCTGTCATATAGGTTCATAATGAAGCCTCACTATATTAGTAAACATGGAAAATATAAATAAACAGCACTTATGCCCTGGCCATTCATTTGACTTTGCTGATTTTGGCTCAGGAACCATAGACATCCCAACACCAGTCAAGATGGGGACAGCTATGGGCTTTTTGGAATCAGACTGCAAAGAGATGACTAGCAATTTGGAGCAGTAGAACTGTCTGGTCAGGAATAGGGAGGCATGAATTTGCATTCTGCATGGTCCAATGGCGGCTGACAGTGTATGATATGGTGAAAGCTTCATGGAGTGTACTTGGGTGCTACTAGGTCTCCAACAGTGCAGTGAGTGATAGGATTTTCCTGTATTCAGGTTGAGGTTGCAGGCCACCTAGATTCAGATGGAAGTTCTCTTGAGTTTGACTCCAAAGGATTTACTGGACTTCCTAGCCCAATTTTTTCTCCCAAGCCCCAGATTCCTCAAAGCCCAGGTAGCTCTCCTTTTCTTTCTACTCTGGCCCCAGGGTTCTGGTCTACATTTCTTCTGTCTGAAAAGCTGCTGCTCTAATCTCTGGAGCTGTACTCTCCAGTGTCTGATTATGAAACGAGGTTCATCCTTCTCAGCCCTCCTCCATGCTGCATCTTTATTGCTATTGCTGAATATGTGCAGAAACAGTTCTAGTAGAGTAGGAAGGTTGCAGATTTTGAAGCCTGATCATTTATGCATGCCTGGGGCTGGGGGACCTCAGGCAAGTTATTTAAATCTGTGAGCTACTTCCCAGCTTCCATTTCTATAAAGGAAATCATAAAGGAAATCATAATAAGATGATGATGATAATTATGATGATGATAATAATACCCAGAAAGATAATAGAGATGGGTTGAATGAAATAATATGTGTGAAACAACTAGCATAAATATCAGATGCAAGTTAGAAATCCTACAAATATTATCTTTCCTTACTCTATATTATTATATATCTATATAATTCAATGATTCTGTAGCTATCAAAGTATATTTCATAATTTGTGACTTTAACCCTCAATTCAGCTATATACATTGACTTCTGGTACTATTTACAAATATTGGTTATATATGTTTGTGTAGCAATTTCTAAAGCTTGTAACTACACTATTTGCTTTATCCCCATGTCATAGACGAAGAAACTGAGTCTCTGAGATTAAAAGACTTACCCATGATATCACAGTTCTTAATGTTGGGATCATGAATTGAATCTACTGTTCAATTCCAGAGTCTGAACACTTAACTGATAGGCTAGACTGCCAATCTAGAGATAAATATTAATAATGGGGTCCTCGGAGACCTTCGTGAGCCCCTGCCTTTAATTTACCTATTAGCCTTTTATTATATAGGATATACACTGAGTGGCCAGATTATTATGTGTTCAGAGATCATAATAATCTGGCCATTCAGTATATAGGCAAATACATTTATATATAATATATACATATTGTGACGTGTGTGTGTGTGTGTGTGTGTATGTGTGTGTTTCACAAAACTCCACAGGATTGTAATGTACTTTTATAATTGCTGTCTGAGAAAATATTACTACAAATTAGAAGATTTAAATGAATTTGTGTTTTATTAACCACAATAACACAAACATTATTTATGTTGCAGAGATTTTGGATCTAACTAAAATTCAAAATAATAGTACTTCATATACATATGGGGCTTTAGTCCCCTAGTAGGTACTCTATAAATTTTTGATGAATGAATGAACAATGAATAAATTTTCCTATCTCCACATGGTTGTGTTGTTGCATGAAGTCAGTTTAAGCAATCTGGTGTATATTTTCATGATTTCATTTAAACCAAGATCTGCTCTGCTTTTCAGAATTCTTTGGAGATCTGGATACATTGATGGGGCCTCTGACCCAGCACAGCAGCATGACCAATCTTGTCCGCTACGTTCGCCAGGGACTGTGTTGGCTACGCATTGATGCCCATTTGTTGTAGTGGGTGCTCCCCAATCTCCAGAATTACCATCCATCACTCTACCTCTACCAGAGTATTAATGATTACTGGTGGAACTCCACTCATTTGGAAAGTTCTCTTTATGTTTGTTTTTGTGCTTTTCTTGAATTCTGTGAAAAACAGAAATTATTGTAAGTGGACACTACAACTTGAGAACAGTGTATGTTTTATTACTTAGTCTTTTTTTGTTTTTGTTTTTTTTAGTATTTTGTATGCATTTAGTAGATCCTACCATCCTTTTGTGCTGGATGAAATTACACAATCCACACAACCCAAAACAAGGGATGAAAAATACTTGCTATAATAAGAGGTCCCTGAGAAATGAAATCATATATACATATATAAATTTAAACACAAAGGATTAGCAAGTATTCAAGTTTTTGGCAATAGGCATTTTCTAAACTACAATATATTCTTATGTCCAGAAAATAATGTATTTTAAAATCCATTGTTAAACGTTTGTGGTTCCTATAAACTTGATCTTCAGGTGAGAGTTTTCATTGTCAAAATCCACTACTTAAATGTAGCAATATCACGAAATCAATCATTAAGAAAATAAATTATCATAGCAATGTCACTCTTAAAACAATATTGTGTCAAACACCAGAAGACAATTTTTGTTAGCATCTCACTCCCTGATTCCCTAATTTAAAATTTTTAATAATCAGCAGTGGCAACATTTGTTTGGACAACTTTAAAGCATCAGCTAGCATAAATCTTTTTGAACTCCATGATTTGAAATGTAAATATTCACCTTGAATTCTCTTTGTGTAAAGCTCTTCTTTTGGGGGTTAGTTTCGTGCACTCCCTAGTAGCCAAAATGCTAGTAGGTAGGTCCAAAATTGTCAGGATTTTTTTTTTTTTATTGCATTGTGCTCAAATCTCTAGAAGCAAATGTCAAGTTGTCACTACCTAGAAATAATAATATACATTTTGCTTTCTAGTGGCTTTAAAATATGGACTTTGCCAATTACTATCCCAATCTCTACATATAGGATATCTTTTCTTCTTTTTCTTTTTTCTATTCTATTTCTTTTTTTTCCTTTTTGGGAAGCTCATTAGATTTTAACTGAAATATAATCACTGATTTTATTAAAGTCTCTATGAATATGAACCATTTCCATTTAAATTCCAAAGATAGGTCCACATTTTCTAAGTAGTAGAACTCACCTTTTCACAAAACAAAACAAAACAAAACAAAAAATAGTCTTGAGGCAATGTTTTAATCTAGGATTTAAAAAAAAAATCCTGAAGATTAGAAGATTAGGAACAGTTTACCCAATTGGAACATTTCTAGATCAGTTACAATTATCTCCACCCCTTATAACCCTGTACATCCATTTTATGGCCCTAAACATTACAATGTAAATATCATCTTTGGTATTTCAGCTCACCAGAAGAATTCCCCACATGTGCAAGTTGCTATCTATGCATTAGTTCTGTATAATTACCTGTTGGTATATAATTCCTCGTAGCCATTAATTTGCTGAGTTATTGAATTCTGTTCACTGTTAATGACAAGTTAAGTAATAGATATACCCACATGAAATATGAAAACTTATACGACTTTTAAACCAACTCATGCAAGTTTGTGATTAGAACAGCAAAGGATCACTCTGCACTCTTATTGTCAAGGTTAGATATCACCACAGTTGCAACAGAACCAGACCTAAGCTCTTCTCTGGTCATCATTGAGTTTAAGGTCCTTTGTTGTATAATAAGGTTGTAACAATTTACTCCAATGGCTGAGGCCACATTGTTAAAATGACTGCTGGGAATGTCCCAGTAGCTGAACTCAGCACTTTTTATGCTCCCAGTGTGGTTGAGCTTTATGTTCACAGTCTCAGCAACAATACTACCACATGCAGACACACAGAGATAAATGAAACATCAGAGAATCTTTTCTGAGTTTCTTAAATTAGGAAAATAATAATATGAAAGACTCCAATCACCCAAGGTGAGTGTCATATATACAAATTAGGCTGATGGCTTTGCATTGATCCAAGTTATCTGCATTTAATGGCTAGAGGGTATGACTATTATTATACAGAGTGGGGCAAAATTAGGTTTACAGTTGTTCATATGGAAAATAATACAATAATTAATAAATAATGATACAAGAATAAACTCTAAATTTTATGTACTCATGACTTTAACCTTACTTTTGCCTCACCCTATGAATGAAGCCCATTGGCTTGCCTTACAAGTTCAACCCACATCACATTCTGAGACGATCATGGATTTAGGAACAGATTCTACTAGAAATTAAACCACCAGAAACTAGATATTAGAATGCAAGGGGCAATTTCCCAGGTAAGCAAGCATATTGTCTCATGTAAGTGAAACTTGTAGCTCTAGTTTCAATAAGTTGCTATGTCTACTTTACATACCACAGGGAGGTAGCAGAGAATCCTGCTCCCTGATGTCATCTCTGGTGGCTGAAGGTAGCATGTGCCAAGTCAGCAGCACAATGATCAAATCTGACAGTTGAGCTCAGGATCACCAGGAGATTATTTCATATACCCATTTGTAAAGCAACTTAGAAACCAATTAGGCATGGAGATGAGATATCTTTCCATTTCAGGATTAAGGATTATTGCTGTTTTCTCTGCACTCATTCATCACATTATAAATGGTGATGTGTGTCCTAGATGTGCAGCTATTTGAGGGATTGAGATAGTTTGTCAAGTAAATCTCTTCAGTGTACCAGTTTGTGGGAGGGATGCAAGACATGTGGCTGGCAGTGAGAGATCCTGCCTTGAGACCTTGATGGAGACTTTGTGAGATACATCTCAGTAAGCACATGGAGGTAGGATAATGAACAGAACAATGAGTAGCTCCACCTAAGCAAGTACACAGAATGATCTCAGCCTTGCATAGTGACCCAGGTAATGTCACCACTATGGCTTCATTAGTTATCCAAACTCCAACCACAGAGAATTTGACAGGTTTGTGTTATGATGTTGACTTGGCTTTGTATATTTAATTGAGTTTGGGTTTGTTAGTGGTTTTGGCATATTGCTGTCTAAGTTTGGTAGGTAGGATTACTTTGAAAAGGGTTTACTAGTGTGGTCCTCAGGGTAGAATTTAGCCATAAGCTTGTTGTTAGCCAGCCTTTAGTCTGTTAATTATTTAATAATCTCATTGGAAAAATATTGGTCCTTTTATATTTGGATGATATAATTGGGAAAGCAGATTAGCTGTTATTAGCTGTTAAAAGACTTGAGGCTGGGATGCCTTTTTTCCATATAATGACATAAAAAGATTCAAATCTTCAGTCAATAATCAATTTTCTAAATTGGAAACCATTTTCTAAAATGTGTTTTGTTGAATTTTCAAATGGATGGGTTTTCATTTGGACATTACATCATTAAATGCATTGGATTGTGTCTAAATTGGAAAGATATCTGTTCTATTGTATCTTTCCCAAAGGTTTCTAATTCAGATTTTGTTTCATTTGAATTTGCATCCCGGAGGTGAAAGTTGGAGTGTAAAGTTGGAAAGCATTTTTGAAGGCAAAATTAATTTAGCTGTGAAGGTAAAACCCTCACATACTTCTCAACAAACATGATAAAATTCACCCGCATGATTTGGGAGGTAGGAGGATCAAAGTGGATCACTGGGTAGGACTACTCAGTAACGTAATGAACTGCTTGCTTAGAGAAGCTTCACTATATCCATTAAGAAAATGTGTGGCAAAATTGTATAGCTACACAATATAAAATTAATGGGTTGATTCGCTGCTCCTAAATTCAGTTCTGTGGGGAAAAATATTGAACCAGTTGTCATTACTATGTTATGCAGCTGGTATACTAAATTATGTTCCTCCTCTTCTTCTTCTTCTCCTTCTTCTCCTTCTTCTCCTTCTTCTCCTTCTTCTCCTCCTCCTCCTCCTCCTCCTCCTCCTTTCTCCTTCTTCTTCTTCTTCTTCTTCTTCTTCTTCTTCTTCTTCTTCTTCTTCTTCTTCTTCTTCTTCTTCTTCTCCTTCTTCTTCTTCTTCTTCTTCTTCTTCTTCTTCTTCTTCTTCTTCTTCTTCTTCTTCTTCTTCTTCTTCTTTCTTCTTCTCTTCCTCCTCCTCCTTCTTCTCCTTATTTTTCTCTTCCTCCCCCTATTCTCTTCCTCCTCCTCCTCTTCTTCCTTCTCCTTCTTTCCCCCCTTCTGTTCTTTGGTCTTGTTGTTGTTTCTCATTTCCACTCGCACAGCCTTGTTCTCATAATTAAAATCTGATTCATTTTCTCTTCAGTGTTAGCAAACTCCAACAATAGAAGTGGTATATGTGTGTTGATAATCAGCATTTACCCTAGCAGGAGGCTAATTGAGTAGGCTATCTCAGACATTATTTCTACCATCTGATATTTTCTGGAAAAGAAAAAGTATTAATTTCCTTTCCATTCTCCTCACAAATCTAGAAGCCCTCTTTACCAAGAAAATCACATTTTCCTCTGTAGTCTAGTGACTCCAAGAAAATTGCATTGTGGGGAGTACAGAAGGGGCTGGAGATGGGGGTGGAGGGTAGGGAAGCCCTTTAGGCCAGGCTGCACTTCTTGCCCCTTTCTGCTTCTGACATGAGATGTTAATGAATCATCCATCAGGCTCACATTGGGTTAGGGGTCACTGAACTTCTTTTCTGATCCATGATCAATCATCACTCTTCTAAGAGAGTGGAGCTTTGCTGTTTCATTAACTGTGCAGTGTAGACTAATGATGTTTAATAAACTTTATTCAAAATTTCAAACTCTTTTGCCAGTGACCTCAATTTTTTTTGTTCTTTGATTTATACCAAACTTTGAGGAAGGAAGAGGGAAGCAAAAGAAGCTTCTCTGATACCAGGCCTCTGGCAAGATGCTGCAGTGGCAAACCTATTCCCTCCCAGTATTTGTAGCAGCAGCAGCAAAAGCCTACAAACCAGCTGGAGAAACCTCCTGAACAATGACCCAGTGGTCTGGCCACTGTGACTCAGTAGTTGAGTGTTGACCTATGAATCAGGAGGTCACAGTTTGGTTCTCAGTCAGGGCACATGCCTCAGTTTTGGGCTCTCTCCCCAGTGAGGGGCATGCAGGAGTCAGCTGGTGAATGATTCTCTCTCATCATTGATGTTTCTATCTCTCTCTTCCTCTTTGAAATGAATTATATATATTTAAAAGAATGTCCCAGTGGACGTTTTTAGCTGGGGGTAGCTTATTCCTAGAGGGCCTCATTGTTCTCCAGCCTCTGTAGCAGGAATACACCTGCCATATTCAGAGCTTAATAAGAATTGCAAATACTTAACTTACTTGGTTTGGGCATGCATCACACATGTGGCTACCCAATAGAAACACCTCTGGGAGTAGAGCCCAGCGGGGTGACTATGAGTAGCCAAATACATCCCAAATGCTCATGCCCTTCTGTGGCTCTGCAATCCTTATGAAATTAGTGGAAGAGGAGCCCCTGGGAAAGAGGCCAAATTGGAGGAACTCCCAAAGAGACTGTATTGGTGCTATGTTGTCCAGATCAAGAGCTAGCTTTTCCTTTGGTCAGCCTGGCATGCAACCAATGGTATATTGGTAAAATGTTTAATAATAAGCTCTCTGAGAAGATAACTTGATTTGTAGCATTTGCCAATTTCTGTGGTATAAATACCACCACCACAGATTATTTCAAGCTGCTATTATGATGTCATTGAACACAGAGTTGGGGAGAGATGCTCACAAAATTGGGAGATTGAGCCTGCCAGCTCTAACTCAACACTGAATGCAGCCAGTCAAAGAGAATTTGGACACACATATACACTGAGTGGCCAGATTATTATGATCTCTGAATGCATAATAATCTGGCCACTCAGTGTATATCCTATATAATAAAAGGCTAATATAAAAATTGTCCCCTGGACCAGGAATTCAACCAGCAGGCAGGCTGGCCAAATATCTATGTCCCCTCCCCTGGCCAGGCTGGCCAGACCCCCCCACCTATGTACGAATTCATGCACCGGGCCTCTAATATATATATATATATATATATATATATATATATATATATATATATATATATATATACTGAGTGGCCAGATTACTATGTGTTCAGAGATCATAATAATCTGGCCACTCAGTGTATACTTCAATGACAAACTATTACATCATCTTAAAAATGAATTAATCCCCTGTAAATGTAGGTAATTTATGATGAAGCCCTAGAGATATGAGTTTTAAGCCAGAGATAGATGGAAAAAAAACGAAGACCTCTTGAGCCCAAAACACAGGTGGATCAGTGGGGGTGGTTTCATCGCCTCCACATCCTGAAGGTAAAATTGAAGTGAGATAAGGACTTAGAAAACCCTCATGGTTTATTTAAAATAGGCATAGGTGAATGTTATTGTTATTTTTAAACATCCTAGTGGTATTTCTAACATGGAAATCTAAATTGAATAGATTATTTACTATTGTTTCCTCTAAATGGTAGTATTTTGTAGTAAGGGAACATGAGGGTTTCTATGGAGAATAGCACAGTCCAAAATATAGTGGACTGTTTTTCTCATAATATGGAAACTCAGTAATCCTCCTCTCCCTAATATTGTTCAGAAGGTTTTTACATTAATTATTAGGTATTGAAGTTATTCATTTAACATCATTTTGTTAAAAATACCTATTTTCTGTCTTAGCTCTGAATTCAACCAGAATCCCTCTTATATTGATTACATAATTAATATTCAGAAATAATCATCTAAACCAAAATAATTCCCTTTTTAAAGAAAGCCAAGGTCACTAACAAGAGAGCATAAACTTAAATATATTTTTCTAGGGGAATGAGGTTTTCATCAAAGACACACACACATATCTTTTTTATTAGAGCTCCTCATCATAAATCACCCTGAGAGTAGAATAGAAAGTCTCAAAGGACCTGTTCTGGTCCTGTGCATCTTTTGTAGCTAATAAGAGGTTTACATCTGGAAAGGTTGACAAACTCACCCTAAAATCCTATTTTTCTTTATATTTCTGTGCTATGTCCAAGCTTGTGTCCATGGTCAAATGTTAGCCCTGGTGGAAATCTGTGTCATACTCTTTCTGGCCTTTCTCTTGCCCCTGCAGTTCTTGTTGTGGCCAGCACAATAACAAAGTTTGTAGATTCTATAATGTAAAGGTATTTGATCCCTTCATGATATACCTGACTGGAGAAGGGTAACATCTGGGGCCAGTTCGATTGACATTACACTCACACAGGGACTTGGAGTCCCCCTAGCCAATGGACTGGTTTGCGTGGATACAGAGAGCTAGATTGTGTTCATCATCATCCAGTGATTCCCTATTTCAAAACCATCCTCACTAATTAATCATACACACCCACAAATATTATAAATGAGATTGATTCTGTCTCAAGACAATTTGTCACATAGTTTTCTTCTTGGATGACTCTACTCCGGATATTTTACAAAAAGAAATGTCTGAGATGAAACTATAATTATTCAGTTCTACAAATTGCTGCTTTTATCCCTATTTTTATCAGAGATGGAAATCTGAAGATTGTTTGAAGTAGTATTATTTCCAGATAAAATTAATACATCAAAGGAGAGCTCAGTGCAGATATCATGCTC